CTTCGTCGGAGGTCTGAAAAGGATTGTAGTTTACGCATCCGCTGTACTGTGCCGCCAAACATCTCGTCTGAGTCCGATTTGTTGAACGAGGTTTGGATTAGTGTCAGAGATCAGCAGGCCTTGATGATAATTTCGTAAAGAGAATGAAAGTGAATTCCAAACTGGTATTCTACCACCTGTTGAAAACTCATAAAGTAGCAGCTCACGCGACCAGCTCTATGTCGCCGGAAACGTACAAGATCCGCCCCATCATAAGCTGCGTAGGCGGTCCCACCGACCGGATAGCATGGTTTCTAAATAAAATCGTAAGCCAGTTGCTTCCAAAGGTCCCGTCACATTTGTCCAACACACATCAGTTCATTGAGCAGCTACGACAGTTGAAGCATGAACCAAATAGTGTTATAGAATCGTTTGATGTAACATCTCTATACACTAACGTCCATGTTGATGCTGCCCTGCAAGCGCTCTCGAAAATGTTGGACAACTACTATTCTAACATCAACACCTTTGGTTTGAGCATAAAGTGCGTACTGGTTCTTGTCAGAGAATGCCTCAAATGTAACATATTTAAATGGTCTGGAAGTTACTACTCACAAGTCAGAGGACTCGCAATGGGCCAAAGACTTGCTCCAGTCATCGCAATATGTTACTTGAGCGAGATCGAAGAACCAATATTTGCACGCTTACCGATGATGTACTGCCGATACATCGATGATTGCTGTATCGTAACTTCGACACAATCCGAAATGGATGAATGTTTCGAATTCTAAACCAGCAATCACAGTACATCCGGCTTACACGTGAAACACCTCGCGGTAAATGGCTTTCCTTTCTGATTACACAGGTGAACTTGTCTGACAATACCGTGCGCATAAAATGGTACAGAAAGGAAAGCTCGAGAAACATCATCTTACACGCTACGTCAGCCCACCCCTCAACAGTCAAGCATGCTATCATACATGTTATGTTGTTTGTTACATGGAACATGTTCAAAACTGCTACCGAGATAGGCGATGACGAGCGATGCGAGTCACGACATTTGGCAGCTGACATTGCACTCAGTAACGGCCATATGCTTGGAGCAGGAAAATCACGTAGAAAACAGTCTAGTTGTCATAAATGTGTTAGCCTTACGGAGCGCAACAAGAACAACAAGATTCCTTTGTGCATACCCTTTGTTTCCGATAGAATTAGCGAAGCCATAAGACAGTGCATCTTGCGAGCACAGCTGCAAAATGAAGTCATGCTGCTGATCGACATTCCTAGCGATAATATCAAAAGGCGGTTGGTCAGAAACAGAGTTTACGATGTCGAATGTGTATCAAAGGATTGCATAGTCTGTCCTTACGGGAAAATTGGGGACTGCGCTAAATCGGGAACTGTCTACCAATTGGAATGCTAGAGTTGCAGAACAATGTACATTGGAGAGACGGGTAGACCTTTAAGTACTAGAGTAAGGGTTGTTTCAGACTGCCGCACTGACTGCAGCAGACTGCAGCAGACTGCAGCAGACTGCAGCTGACTGCAGCAGACTGCAGCTGACTGCAGCTGACCGCACTGACCGCACCGGTCGCACCCTCTTTTCTTAAAAGAAAACAACCGCGATTACAAAACAGCGTGATTTACGCATAAGAAGATCATAAGTTCCATCAGAATTCTCAATCAAATTTTGCGGATAGTTTTCTTTGGTATGTTCGTATTTGTTCTAATTCCTCCTATCATTGCACGTACCTGTTTTGTAACATTCTAAACCGTGTTGTCTTTTGTTTTTACGTATATATTGTTGTTGTTTGTTTCAACCACAACTATTTATCCTCTCCGCCTGCATGCTTCAGCCGCTGCGGTCGTTGCGGTCAGTGCGGTCAGCTGCAGTCAGCTGTAGTCTGCTGCAGTCTGCTGCAGTCTGCTGCAGTCAGTGCAGTTAGCTGCAGTCTGCTGCGGTCAGTGCAGACTGCTGCAGTCAGTGCGGTAGCATGAAACAACCCTAAGCGAGCACTTGGCGAACATGAGGAGAGGAAACCTATTGTCTCCGTTAGATAAGCGTAAGTTTGAAGAGTACGTCGGCAATGATTTTAGCGTTAAATGCGTCATCCTAGCGTTTGAGACTGATATCCTAGCACGAAAGACCCTGTAGCGGCGTGGATATACTCTCGTAATCCGAGTATGAACAACAGAAATAAATGTCTGACGATAACGAGTGATTTACTGCCATTGATATCGTTGTGTGAGCTCGATACCGCACACTATAAGTAGCAAGACACACTGGACAGAACTCAGTGATGTCCGTCAACTGATCTAGTGCGGACTACTGACTCTTTGGCGGACCGAAGGTTTGTTTGCCCTCGTTCGATGTGCCCAGTCCGTTGCGTCTGAGAAAAAGTCAAGCGAAGCGGACTCAGACGAGATGTTTGGCGGCACAGTACAGCGGATGCGTAAACTACAATCCTTTTCAGACCTCCGACGAAGACGAGTTGTTCGAAACGTTAGGTCAATAAAGTTCCACCATACCAACCTGTGAGGCATAAGAAATACTAGTACATACTCTTCAGAGAGCTTGAAAACGGCGAAAACCTGCATTTTTCTAAGCCCTTCCTTATGAAGTTGGACGAGTGGAGCAAGGCTGATGACGCTGAATCGTTGCAGGACCCAGTGGTTATAGCATTGCGGCGGGCAGCCTCCAATGGTGGGAAGGAAATTGCCAACTCGACCGGGCGCGTGTAAGATTGGCTTGCGCGTGTAAGTATGAGAGCGGTTTTCTCGGCAAGGCAGCATGCTGTGCAACCGGGATTGCACTGTTTTCATACTTGGGCGATAAGGGACCTACTGCGTCAAAATCCTGCGCTGTTAAGTTTTGCCGAGCCACTGCCTTTAAGTCTACTAGGAAAACAAGAACAGCTCAGTCTATTCGAAAATGGAGTTTACTTTTGGGACAACCTAATATCTCACTCTATATTAACACATTGACGACAATACGACCCACCGGTGGGTCGTACGTGTCCTGCCATTTCGAACAATACGACCCACAGGTGAGTCGTAAGTTTTCGAAAGCTCTAACTTTGTCAGCACGCAATGGGAATTCTACGGGATTCTGGCACATGACTGGGGACACCTTGGCGAAGCTCTAGCCGGAGTGGTCCGGTTCCGGAGTACTGTAATGTAATCTTACGGTAGTATACTGAAGATAGAGGTAAGGCACAGATTTTAGCTCAAATTTCTCGCAGAGTGGTGCTGTTTTTGATAGTTCAAGTTTACATGCACAAGAAATACAGGGAGAGCACGAGACTGATGTCAGCCCATCAAAAATTATCGATTTTATTGATTTTTCGCATTGTTCATCCCAGGAAGCTCAAACCTTGCAGTACAGGTTTTTTTAGCATGCTGATTACGAAAATGGTAGTCTCAAGTTCTAATACCCCTTCTTACATCAGTTTCTTGATTCTTACGAAAATTCTACGGTACTGTTACCGTAGTCCCACTGTGGGAAAGTAGTGACCAATGTGGACAATATCATCGTGATTAGCATGTGAGATAACCCCAAAACACAATTTTTCACGAAATCCGTGATGTTGGATTCGTACAGAATGACTACCGTAATCTTACCGTATACCGCCAAAAACTTAAACAAATCATATTTTGATAATCAGCGCCTTCGATAACCCTTGTGGGGATATTCTCGGAGACATGTTTTGAATTTCTTCCAGAAAGACTACCATTTTGGACAGTACGACCCACGGTGGGTCGTAAGTTTGGCAGAGCAAAAAAGGCTCCTGTCCGAAATGGCAGTAAACGAAAAAAATTGGCCTTGTCGTCAATATGTTAATTGAGAATCATTCTGAGGCTGCTGGCTGTGTTTTTCTGTAGATTGTGAATTCGCAGTACTTGAATACAAAATTATCCAAGATTAATCTCTAGTCTCTTGAAGGACGAAAACAAATAAAATGAAAGCCAAAACTGAAATTATTATTTCAAAGCAGCCAACATCTTGTAAGACCACTCTAACTACTGCACCAATGCTGTCAGAACGGTCTGCGTCTCTGACCTGCGGCACGCATAGCTGAGAGTCGGCAACATGCCACATGTTCGCAACATGCAACAACATGCCTGGCTTCAGAGCTAAAAGTTGAAACGTTTTGTACTATGCCTTTTGATGCTGCTGCATGCTCAACATGTTCGCAGTGTCGCAGATCAGAGACGCACAGCGGGGGAGTAGTGAAGTGCAGTCGTGGAGCGAACTATGAGTCGTCGAGATAAAAACCACAACTTCGTCAATCTGGCTTTCCTCTTTGATCTCCATCTGGTAAAATGCTAGCACGTGCACTCGACGATGCGTAAACTCCTAGCGGAAGGGCTGCGTTGTTTTCGTCAAATGCTTGGGCTTTCTGTTCAGCACAAACTTGTGTGCTAAACACACATATTTATACAACATTTGAAAATTCGTGACAAGGCGCGACCGCGCGCTACACGCACGCCACTTCCGGAAACCGCATTTGCTTAGTTTTCTTCTTTAGTTGAGTGGTTTTTTTGCCTACCTATGATAGTATTTAGACACTGGAAGTGAGTGAGCTGAGCTTTGATGTGATGTCTTTCTGTATGAGCGTTATATGCTCCTCTGGGCGCAAAGTCCGCAGTCGAATCCGGCCTTACGATTATATGAATGACCTATACATATGCTCGTCCGTTATAAGACACACCCCATAGTTGACCTACTTGATCCGCTGGTCCCTTTGCTCTTGGTCAAATCAGTGAAATGACCAATGGCGAAGTGGATCTAGTGGATCGAGTGGATCAAGTGGTAACTATGGCGTGTGCCTAAGCTAACATGTCATGAAACTGGTGGACACGTCGTTTTGTACTGATGCCACTTCTTCGCTGCCATAAAAACGCGCAAAAGGTATGAAGCAAGTTTGAGGTAGATCTATCCTAGTTAGCTAAACGCAAAGAAAACTATTCAAAAGTGAACTCGTCCAGACAGATATTTATTTAGGTTAGAAAACGAGAATGAGGTTTCATTAGAAGACAGATCAAGGCTGAAATCGCAACTTATTAGAGTAGTGATAATCACAATCATTTGGAAATAAAGTTGAAACCTAAAATAAACATGTGTAGATATCATCAAGAGTTAACGTGCATCAAGGAGTGTCTAAGATAGAAAAAATGACCTAAAATCCTATATCACACTGCTTTTTGGAAAGAAATTCATCACGGTGGGCAATGGAAACAGCGTAAAGACGCGCAAAAGCCCATACACAAACCATCACATACTTGACAGATAAAACGTGCGAGTGGTAAAACCGTTTTGTAGCAAATATATATACTCGATAATAAAATCCTAAAACAACACAAACTGAAATAAATTAAAGAGCGATAGTCTAGTAAGTTCACGACTTAGAATTACTTTGCAATGAATTCGGATAAAAACGCGTACTCTTTCACGAAACCATACCCAAGCTCAGATAATGAGCATATCAGTAGCGCTATGAGCTTAGTAGCGATAGACGTGATAAATGTGTGAATATATCATCAAATCTTAGAAAATAAATGTTAAAAACGCTTAGAAAATGTATTCCTCATCAGACGACATTGTCATGTCAATAGCCCAGCGGAATTTCGATCGCAACGTCTTGTTGAACACCTGCAAAAGACGTAGGTCAAACAAGACTGCAACGAAGCACTCAAAGGTAAAACCAACTTTTTCTATGGGAACGTCGAACTTTTTACACCAAGCGATCGAAATGCGAGGGTCGAGATAATTAAGTTTAGATGTAGACAGAGCAATTTGCTTGTTCTCGTCCTAAATCAAGATTCAGCATACAGCACTCTTGAGCACATTCAACAGATTATTACCCTATCAGTCCTCTGGATTTTCAACTTTTTCAACTGCTCCTTCAAGCGATCAACTTTCTTTTGCGCCTTTTCCTTGGCTCCTCCTCGTGCCTTTTCAAGTTCTGCTTTAGCTTCTTTGAGTTCTTGTTTTTTATCTTTTATCTGAAATTATTTCCGCTATGGACCAGTCATATCCAGCATCCAAAGAAACCTACCTTCTGTTCCAGGTTACCCATAGCTTTTTCATGTCCCTTTGGTATAGCGCGCTGATGGTTACACAGAATAGCAACCATACGATTAGCTCGATTGTATGAAAGCATCTTCTGTGCAACATTATCATCCGCTGCAAAAAGGTGGTGACTGCGGTTAATTGAGACTGCAGAAAGTGAGCACACCTCTGGTAAGTTTCGCTAACTGGTCTTGGAGAGTAATGGAGGCGTTATATGTACGGAACACCTTTACGGTGAGACCGTCCATTAGTGAACGTAAATGCTCATTCAGCGAAGCAGTCTGTAAGTATTGCGCTTTTTTTAGCTAAATTTTGAAGGAAGGATGGAGCCAAACGAACGTCTAGTCTATCAAAGAGATCATCGCCTGGTTCCTTGTTGTCCATGAAAAGCTGGAGATTCTTAAACACCCTTTTTTCCACAGGTACTTGGTTAAAATATCGAATAGAATCCTTTCCCAGGAAATCGAATTCGACGACGTATCTGCAATCCTCAATGTATGTAATCTTGACAAAGCGCTCAACTGACTGAAGCAGAATTCGCGAATGCCTTTCAAATTACAGGGTCTTTTTTAACCATACATTCAAACGTTTCTAGACAGCCGTCGCCCCTGGAGATTGGTCACAAGTTAACATAAACTCACTCTTTGTCACCTAATTTCTCGTAGAGCTTGATGTGCTCGCATCGGAGAGAACAGCAACCTACAGTATCAGCAGCCTCGTCGACATCCTTTTCGTTACCCGCACGAAGAGCCAGCTAAAAAAATTCACACATGCGATGATATTAGTAGGCTCAGGGCCAAAAACAAACCTTGTCAATAAAATACAGTGCGACAGCTCTTTGACGCACACGCATTTCTTTCGACTTCCAGTCAGCTTGATATACAGCACGAATGTCGTCGATCCTGGTTTTTAACCGACGAGCAGTCTCATACTTCTCATAATCTTTCTCTCCCTGTAGAAGTCAGATACAGGTTGAGAAGGGAATGGAGACGCATTGGTGCATACCTTTATTTTACTGCTAGGATTCAGCATTATATATTTGTTATTGCCTAAAACGTTTTCGGTCCACGAAACCAGCCATGTAACGGTGTTGTCATGGCGAACTTCTTTCCACTTGTGTCCTTCGGGTGGTACTGGTATTTCGCTATCCCTAAAATAAAGGCTTGAGGCCGTGAAGTGAGCTCGGCCCTATAAACAAACTTCGAGCAGTTGATGATCACGTCTTCAGGTCGTATTCTTTTCTTCAGCATACCCATTTTTGGATGACCTCCACGCCCTCGGAAAAGCCCTGATGAAGAAATGTCATCTCGTCACAAATTGTCAGAAATAAGATCCAACTCACCTGGCGGTTCTATCCTAAAGTTGCCCACTTTCTGCTTATGACCGTCAATTATAGCAACACCATATATCTTCGCTTCAGCTTCTTTAGCTTCCTAAGAAAATGAGAGATCGCAAAAAGTAGAACGGCATCACAAGAACTACGGTGCAATACGATACCTTGAGTTTCTGCTTTTCTTCTTTACTCATAGATTTGCGAATTTCCGACTGTTCTTTGAAGTACACATCCATTTGGCGGAAGTCACACTTTTTAAGATCAGTAATCAATTCCCTCTCTTCAGGTGTCATTACCTAATCATAACAAGTTCTTTTTGTTCGAGTTACTATGATAGCGAAGTCCTACCTTCCGCCAATCGCGGAAAAAGTTCTTATTGAACAGATCTTTGGTAGTGTATTCATGATCAAGCATCTTCGCATAAAACGTTGCTACTTCCTCAGCCTCCTCAGAGAGTTGAACAACCTAGGTAGGGTATACAACCATGATGAGCTGAGGTAAAAATTAGTTAGGGGATGTTTGACTGACCTTGCCATCATACTTGAACTTCACATGCTCAGGCAGTCGAACATATGCGGGAGCAAAAAGAGGACCTTTGTGATGCAAACTGTTCCACTTGATTCCGGCTGGCTTCTTCTCCTCTTTCCACCTAGACATTTCTTTGAAATGTATTCCGTTGAAGTTTCGAGTCATATTATTGCTTACCACTCCCAAATTTCCTCTTCTTCCTCTTCCTTCTTTTTCTTCTTCTTTGGTTCGCCTGCCTCTCTTTTCTCCTCTTTCTTTGGTTTCTTAGAAGACGACGGCTTTTTCTCTCTCGACTCCTTTTCCTTCTTCTTCTTTTTCTGGAAAAGAACAAAATTGTTGTCACAACTTGTCGGATTTCGAGATATGTGAATAATCAGTTTTGAAAATGAAGATCGAGGAAGAAAAGAGTTAGGGTAGGAGATAAAAGCTCTGAAACCCCTCCCCTCCCTCCCCAAGAGAATGTGCGCTGCTGACAGGTACAAAAGATAGGAGCTTATATAGTCAACATGGGCAGATGCCACAACTCTTTTTCCTCCAGAAAAGTGCGTCTCACTTTGTAAATATCTCTGCCCCCTCCAACACTAGTTAATCATGACTACCATGACATGTCAGATGGATGTTGTTGATCAAACAAGTTTTGCTCTCATTGATGACCAGCTTTGCTCACCTTTTCACCCTTAGGTTTTGCATAATCGTCATCACTGTCACTATAATGTTTCTTCTTCTTTTTATCCTTCTTTGCATCTATTTCATCGTAGTCAGAGTCTTCTTCTAGTTTGGGTTTTTTACTTGCGGATGACGATAACTTCTCGTTTTTTATCTTCTGAGACCACGGTATATCTTCTCCATCATCATCGCCCTATTTTTATGATAGACTGTAGGGTGTAACTACGCAGAAAATCGAGAACATTTGCGACAAGACTTTGCATACATACGCAATTGTGCAAATCACTGTAGACAGAATGCATGCTAAGAAACCCTATATAACATCACATCTCATGCATTATAACGAATTTTGGTTTCGAAAGCAAGCAGACGTCTTACTAGCATATAATCGTAAGATAACCTCATAAGTTCCAAAACAAGCGAACTCATGCTAGCGTAACCGTAAGACAATGTCGTTTTTGATCTTCGATCCATGCCATTGTAGTCGTGCAACATAAGAGCTCAACATCAACATATAACACAGCTCACCTCAGGCTTGTATTCGTCTTCGCTGTCACTGCTTGCCTTTCTTTTCTTTTCTTTCTTCTTTTCCGCAGATTTTCCACTTTTCTCTTTGGCCATGCGTTCTGCCCAAGGAATGTCGTCATCATCCGAATATTCCTCCTTTACCTGCAGATAATTATCTCTACGTAACTGAATGTTCAGCATTCTTCGAAAGGAATCCGACCTTCTTCGGCGGAGGCGCATTCTCCTTTTTCCGGTAATTTGCTCCAGAAGCAGCAGCAGCAAGGGCAGCTGCGAAAGAGTCCGTAGAAGGCTGAATGCATACATAATACAGGTTATTATACAGGGCGACTTTCGCGACCTTAGAAAATTTCGAGACGCAGATTTTGATTAAGGTCCAACCGCAGTTAATGCGAGCGTATAGTGTCTTGTGAAAGTATGTGAACGTAGGTGGACGCCTTGACAGTGGCGGTTAGAGGATTTTTTTGAAAGCGGGACATTTGGGCCAGGCCTATATAACTCTGAGATTTTACAAAATCTTTGCCTATAACCTCAGAATTTTAGAAGAAAATGGGGGGGGGGGGTAGTACACTGCGAAAACTTTTTACAAAGCTGCTTAGAAATTTCAAAAACTGATGGGCTTCATATGAGCTATTTCCCCTCCTCGGTCCGCCAAAGCCTCTCAATTTTCGACGGAGCCACTTCGAAACTTAGCGAAAATCATTGCTACATTCGCTCAACACGAGGTGAGTGTATAGTCTGTCCCAATCAGGAGCAGGACAAAGCGTGGGCGTAAGGACCTAGCGAGTGGATTTCACCCAGTTTTGACCTAATTGGGATTAAGACAGAACGCGTCATTCAGATTTGTTACTCGCACCAATGTGAGAAAAAAAACGCGCTCCATTATAAAAGTCGCACTAGTGAAGGTGCAGATGCTTGAACTTGAATACTTGCTTTCAAATGACCAAGTTTCGTTACTCAACATTTTTGAGATTTCACTTCTTTATCATAGCAGAGAAAAAGTTGAAACTGTTTCCAGCATCCGATTTTAGTCGTTGGCTTAGTGAACACTAATCAGGATTCAATCTCAAAGCGACTGACACTGTGAATAACACGTTTCTGTCGGTACATATTATATTTTTTGCCCTTATAGCCCTTCACCATCCCTACAAAAAAAAGCTGCGATGCCGTGGGCGTGAAACAATTGATGACTTGGTACTGAATTGATCCAAAACAATAGAACACTCTAATTACACAACCGGTCGAAACTCTGGTAATTTGCTTTAAGTGGTTACACATTTTGTGTAGTCGTTGAGTGAAAAACATCACTAATTGTAAGCTAGATACGTGTCGCCCACTTTACAATTGATCTTAATATTATTGATTTGATTTAATTTCATGTTAGCCATCAAAAGCTTTTCAAAACGATCGCTCGACAAAAACTGAACAATCCGAGTCTTGCTCCAACGCGAAGACCCAATGCTGGTGTAATGAAAATGTCCTGCGAATTTATAAGAAAGTGGGAAATCGAGACAGGGTCCTCAGTAAGTCTTTCTTAGAGGTTTCGTGATCTGCGTTCTTGCCTAACGCAGCATAGCAACCAAAGAGGGGTCATTGGGGTAAAGAGACGCAAAGAGAAGTGAGTTTGCTCGGTTCAAAGGCAGTGTCTCGGCAGGATTTTGTTTTCCAGTTTTTCACTGAGCCTTTTCGTCATGAGGAATCCATAACTGGGCTTTTCAGTGCATGAATATAGCGGAAATTTTCCGAACCTTTCAAAATCCGCATTCACTGAAGATACCGGAAGCCTTCCGCGCCCCGCTTCCCTCGTTCCGAGCCCCGCCCACTTGCAAGTATCCTCCAGTGAATGCGGACTTGGGAGGCCTCGGGAAAAGCTCATTTTCGTCATTTTCATGCACTGGAAAGCCCAGATATAGGTTTTCTATGGCGAGAAGACTCCGAAAAGGTGAAAATCTGGGAAACGAAATCCTGCCCAGACACTGCCTTCAGGATGTGCCCAGGCATCTGGGTATGCGGGTACTGACTGGAAGACCTGAATTAGATTAGTGCCCAAGCGGTAGCTTATAGGATCGTTCGTAGCTGCGGGATTGAATCTAAACTCTCTCGGATTGACTCTAAACTCTCTCCCAGACTATGTTGTTGACGGACCATGGTTCTGGTTCATTTTCTTAATGGTTCTTTCGCTATGTGCTGTGACACAGTACAAAAAACCAGCACCTTCACAGCCTTCGTCAATGGTATCCATTCCTTCCTCTCGCTTCATTATCTCATTAGCGCAAGAACAGCACTGACAAGCTATTCTTAAGACCTAAATCAATACTACGAATCGAGATTTTCGCTTTTTTCACTTATTTGTTTTCCCTCACATCTCCTCTTGGAGATTTTTCTTCCTAGAATCAGTAGCGATAAAGTGGGAAGGTGAGAGTACTGAAATTCCTCCTGCGTGTTAACGAAAATTTTTGAGAATACATTCGTTTACATTTTTTTTCAGAGAAGGGTGGGAGCGAAGGGAGGACGAAGACATTTTTTTAGTGAAGTGGTGTGGCTCCGGCACTGGAACAATTTTTGGGATACTTTCGATTTCGCTTCATCACCAATTCGAAAAAGTTGCCAACCCACTTTCAGAAAGCTGAGAGATCTATAAATGCTGTGCAAGGTGGTCTAACACCCAGTCGTCCAAACGTGTATAAATTGATTATTTATTGGGACTGTGAACTGCATAATCACTGGCTCATCAACTTACCTCTGTCTTCACCTCTCTTCGTTCGTCAACTTCCATACCGTAGCTTCCGTTCGTGAGGGGTTGACTATCGTAACCACTGTAACAGAAGTGATAGTGACTGCGAAAAGTGCACTAACCGTAAAGTGTCAAACCTGTCTCCCCCGCATATATCCGTTCTATTATGATTTTCTGTAAGTATTGTTGTAGAGACCACTTCAGCCATCGGTTTGACAAAGTCTCAAGCAAATACGATGGCTGAAAGTGAGTTGCTGAGATTGAGCTACAGAGTTCATGTTTGTCAACTTTCGTTGTATAATTTCAACGATAGTGCAAGTCAGGGAGAAGCATAGACAAAGGCGATGCAAGAGATAGTCCGGTGAACCTCAAATACAAGAAACCAATTTTGAGAAGTCACATCTTACGTGGAAGATGAGAGCAGCACCGTCGAATTTCAAGCTGTACATTTTTGCACTCAAGCAAACAATACGGAAGCCCCTAGAGCAAGTACTTAGCCATATGCGCACTGTTAGGTGCATGCAAGACAGAAAAAAAGAGCTACGCCTAGAAACTTGGTATTTTTATGACAACGATAATTTGATATTCCGACAACATGGTTCAGATCTGCCGCGTTACTGTAAGGCACAAACGTAGGACCCAATCATGTTATTGGATCTACGGGAGGTCAGGTGTGGGGTTACAGTAGCTACTGTATTGTAACTCCAGGATTGATACTTTTTGTGGGACAATTATATTCATCTGTAACAAGCTTCAGAGGTCTATGTACTTTTAAAAGTGCCATAAGTTCGGCTTCCAGAGAGCATCCCTGAAACTACTACTTGTGAAACATAAGCAAACCTAAGCCTTCCTTGAGTCCGACATTCATTCTTATCACACCAACTTTTGGAAGCTCCCACTCGCGCCAGGCTTTCCTATCACTCCCTGATAACGGTATGCATGTCTTGTTGGTGCACTACACACTACGCACTTCAAATACGTCAACATCCGTGCCAAACAGAGGTGCCTCCAATGAACTTCCTGGTTCCCCATCTGAGCACAAAGTACGACTATACGGTACTAACACAGATATGTCCTGCCCGGTCAGATGATTCAGATTCCATCAAAGGATGCTAATCGAATAGGAGAGCGTCCACCCACACATCAATTCGCATGTGAAGCTCACGCTCTGCTATTCATTATTCAAAATGCTATTTCATTGTGTTGACTGTCGCGAAAGAACATCGTATGACTTTTTAATGATGGAGTCTTAACAAAATCACCTGCCTTACGACATTCTCATACGCGATTATGACAGAGCTAAGGTAGGCACCAGATTTATCCTGTTCAATCATTTCGTGCGGTTCACTACTTCGCTATTGGCCAAATCACTAAATTGAACAATAGCGAACGGGTGAACCACAACGACCGGATAAGTCTGGCGCCTGCCTTTAGGAAATGGGGAGGGGCTTTTGATCGTGAAGCTGACTGCCACATCCATTGCTCATGGAATGCACTAAGGCAGGTGTCAGACTGTTCGATTTATCCCGTACCCTACTCGCTACTGGTCAATTTAGTTGACCTTGACCATTAGCGAATGGGTGAATCAGATGAACCGCTCGACCGGATAAGTCTAGCACCCATCTAAAATAAACTTCCTCAGTACTCTTTGTTTTAACAAACGCTTCTCTGCCATCACTTTTAGCATTCAACAAACAATGTTGAGAAGTACAGGTGATCTCGATTGTTTGAGTGGTTCAGGATCTTGCGGCGTGCCGTTGAACAATGTCCGCTGCCGATACGACCTTCCCGATTTGGTAAAACCTATGCATAGCTTAATGCATGGCAGTTGCGCCACATGTCGTCTCTATTTGGTATAATTAATGGCGAAACGAAGTGGTCTGTCCAGTCCATCGAAGATTCTATGCAGAATGACGAACTATAGCGAAGTCAAAGGCGCTGTGGAAAATTTTACTGATTTTAAGGAGAAGTCAGCAATCTGCAGACGTATTTATGTCTAAAAGAACCTCTGAATAGTTCGCCTGGTTAATAAAAGGGTAGCGGGCAGTTTGGTACTCCACCAGATGACTGTGAGCTTTAGCCAAAATTCATCAATTAAAGCTCCATACATCGGTCATATGCAGGAGGTCATTCTGCTCCTTTTTAGGACTCAGTATGTAATTGTATACATTATTTAGCAATCACAAGCCGTGTTTTCAAGGGACACGTACGAGCAATCGATGCAAAGATTTCTTGCTTCGGCAAATCGAAGACGCGCGTCGTTGTCGATTGCCTTACATGTAACTGATGCAATGTTTATATTCATGACATCACAACGTTCGCTTGACGCGTTCGTTTGACGACAAAAATTTATTTTCTACATGTTCAGAAATGGTTTCACGTGGAGATTGTTCGAGATTTTGTAGTTAAGATGTAGGAAAGGGGTCAAAGGGTCAGAAATGCATACTTTCCTGCACTAACAGTGGCTACCACGATATCATTTCCTACCAAATCTGCGCAACCAAGACTTGAGCGAGGACAGCTCGAGTCTGACAACGGTGCGAGCCGTGCCAGCCAGAGACGCAGCGGAGGAGCGCTCAGGCCAAGTCGCCCAATGCTCACAAATCAATCGAATAAAGCAAAATACGGAAACCATACACAGAATGACACAGTCACATTTGATAAGAAAGAGGAGAGGAAGGTACTGACAGCAGCACATGACCAACAAGGCCCTGCTTACGTCACGGATATAGTAATGAACCTGGACTTAGCCTGTGGAGGACAGCAGTGCGGCGCAGAGGCAAAGTCCTAGTGAACACCCGGACTTAGAAAAAATGTGCGTCGTTGCCGACCGCGACGCTTCGCTGCGGAATGGATTAGCGGCGCGGTCGCCGGCTACGGTAGCGGGGAACATGTTGGCCCGTTGCCAAACGATTTGCTCGCCACTGTGCGGCAACTTGAATTCACCTGCTGAAGGTGCTTTTCACCTGACCAGCCTTGCTTATGATATCTTATCGTCCATTCTGTGACTAAAGTACTCAAGAACGTTGTTGCAGCCATTTTCATACAAGCTTGGACATGTTTTCTTGCAAATCCCAAGTGGTAAACTGCCCAAAACGCGTTAAAACACAGCTAAGAACTTGTTAGCTGGACGTACACAAGTATTCCAGTGGTCATATGCTTGAAGTTTCTGTATTATTTTGTAGTTCTTGAGTCTTGGCCTTTCCCACAATTACTGATTAACGTTTCGGCAATTTCTCCCCCGAACATCGCTCAAGAGTTGTTGAACCACTTATTTATCCATTTTTGTGAAAGCTTATTGTTTGAGACAAGCCGAGGTTGCTTACCGCTTTCATCTATGTTTTCTGCACGTAATCTTAGTTCTAATCTTCTTGCTGTTTCTTTTCTAAATCTTATCTATGGAAAATAAGATTCTTGTCATGTGCAGCTAATGTCACAATTAAATCTTCATACTTAATTCTTGTCATGTGCAGCTTATGTCACAATTAAATCTTTGTAGTGTAATCCGATTGCTTACTCACCTCTGAAAAAAGTTCACTTACTGAATTTCTTTTACGTTGCGAAGTCAAAAGTAGATAAATTGTGCTGATGCTTATCATGAACTTGCAACAAAAGTGAATACGCATGAAACGTCCGACGTCGAACCACATCACCTGTTATCGAAGGTTGCATAACCTTGCGTTGGGTGAACTTTACCAATTGTAAGTGATGACAAACCATGTCGTCATGGTGACGAGATTTTTCTCATCAAAAAATTAACTCAATGAGTGTGTAGTAATATCCAGTGTTTCTACAAAAATCATGACTAATCGCAAGAGAAAGATGCGTCGGGTTGTTGCTCATAATAGCAGATCAATCATGCATTGGTAGAACGCAACAATAGGAAAGAATGGAATCCTTTTTCTTTGAAAATATCGCTATATACATCTATTCATAACGCTTACATCCCTATAATAGGTGCGACATGTTTCTTTTGCCAATGAATAAATCCGCTAAACCATGATTATGCTGGCATAAAGCATTACTTATGCTTTTTAATTCACAAGTTCGACGTCCCCATCTATTTCATGAGCGAAAGCCACCAATACTGAAAAAGGTATCTATCTTAGGATTGAGGATGTTCTCTGACTATCACAAAATGCCCCATGTCCTTTTTATCCACCTTGAGGTAGTAAGCATATGCTTTAGTCACAACTTGTGTGTTGTCGGCGAACCACCCAAATTCTGTCTTTTCATGGCTTCCCAACAGATTTGCTAAATGAGAGTTAACATTCCTAGTCCTTTACAGCACTAATTTCCTCCGCGAATTTTCATTCTTGCAACTATATATCATTCTTTTCCAAAACAGAAGACGCTAGTACTCTATGCACACCTGCTCAACCAAGTGAAATTTGGTTCACTAAATTTCAAATAGTTATCTCATAAACGAAGTAGAGAGCAGTAGTATCAGCCTATTGCTTCACTTGTTGGAAGCCTTCCTGAGTTTTCCGGATTGAGCATTATTTTTTGCATAGGTCTGAATTTCAGTTCTGTTGAGTTTTCGTGAATTCTATCACTGTAAGTTCTGGTCTAATTTGTGTTCGACTCTCTTTTTATCTCAGTCTTAATTTTGGTGCTCTCCAGTCATTTACTAGCGACGCCATTTCCAAAAATTTCTGTGGTTAAAGTTGACACGACATTTGCATGGGGTCATCATTTCAGCTGTACATTGACTCACTTTGACCGTTGATATATTTACTTTTGACTCAGTAGTTTTTCTGCTGATGAAAGAGTGTTTCTGAATGTTTGAACAAGGATAATTTTAGTTTGTTTGTACCAGCAGCGATTGTCATTCCGTGGAGAGATCACTTTTAGTGTAATCAGCTGAACTGTGATTGATTTTTGCCTATGTTTCGCGAAATATTATTGTTGTAGAAACCTTTTACTGTATTGCACACGAAAGTGGCACATCTTTGCAGTTCAAAGACATTGCCGAAGATGTTTTGCTGGCAATCGCGCGTTCAGCAACTTTTTCGTTAACACATAAACTGGCCTGACGTGCTTCAAGCACTTCGTCAAGTGGTTAAGTGCTTAACGAATAGTTTTTAACTAGCTAGCGCTGTCGAACGGGTGGCGTTGCCTCTTTGATGCGTAGTTATCGCTATTTTCAGCGTCTTTTTTCTTTTCTCGGGAGTATAATCCAAAAATTTTTTTCCGCGGTAGTCATCGTTAAATCGGATGCACCATGGCACCATTATCTGTGAGTGGGATTACGTTCCATTTTGATCCATTTTTTTTCGTTATAAAGCTCCGTTCCTGCTGAGTGCTGTCGTAATCTCCCTTGACACGGATCGCATCCGAGTTTTGTAGGAGAGATGTTTATTGTTTCTCAATGGCGTTCCCCATGCTTTCCGTCCGCAGGGGAGAGAGACAAGAATTCTTGTGAATGAAGGAAAACAAAAGGAAAGAATGAAGAAAATGCACTCCAAAGATTCTTGGGATCTTCAAATTTCTGCGGGTCCGTAACCCCTATTTTTTGGAAGCGGAGGCCGTGGCGATAATTTGAGTTTTTGAAAAATAAAAAAGTTATTGTAACTGTTCACAAGTATAAGTACTTACACACTTTCATAACTCATGTAAGTATCTTTCGAAAGTCGGCGACTGCTGTGCTGTTGTTTCGAACGTTGCTGCGAAATACACCCGCGATATGGAAAGCATGCTTCATTTCATCAACAGAAACGAAAAAAGCTCAAGCCCCAAAGACGACAACTAACAAGACAATCAATGAAAGCCTGACTGAAAAGAATTATCCTTTCTGAGCCTTCTGCAGGATTGGTGGTCGTCATTCTTAATACACTACTTAGCTGAAAGCTACTCTCGCGTCTTATAAGGGAAGGATACCAACATTAGTCGGCGATTGAAGATGGGATGTATATCATTAAACGCGTCTTTGAACGCTGATTCCAGATCTGCTTCTTTTTTGCGGAGTAGGTTTTTGAAAGAAGTTATGAGCGTTTAAATGTCCAAATTTGCCAAGCATTGAGTGGCTTAAAAACAACGAAAAGCTCTAAAACAATACCTCTGCGATTTCCAGCGGCTTTGCTTCTTCCTTGCAAACAATGTACTCGATACAAAACTCATTTTTCACTATCTGGTGTTTTTGTATAGCTTTTCGCCAATTTTAGGACATCTAAACTGGCAAATTTGGACATACAAACGCTCATAGGTTCTTTCGAAAACTTGTTCCGCAGAAAAAAAAAGCAGATTTGGAATCAGCGTTTAAATTCGCCTCTATTGATATACATCTCATCCTCAATCCAACTAATGTTGATATTTTTCTCTTCCTAGTTCTGTTATCATTTGTGAATGACTGATCTAACCCTGCATATTTTGTCGAGTTGATCAGCAACTATATTTTGAACATCACTTCCCTCAATCTGACTTATTTCTTGGCAACAATATTTATGAACACTTTACAATTTTTAAGCTCTTTTCCCCATTTCATTCAAAAACAATAGAACTATGAAACCAGAACTATTAAGTTGCGACTGTAATTTTTTGGTCAACTTTTCCATAACTCAGCGAAGGCTACTTTCTGAACTGGGCTCAAGTTCGTATAGTTCACTTGTAAAATCGTGGCGACGGATTTTCCTGTGGACTTTGCCCCCACAAGAGCATCACCTCGCGCGTTCACTCACTTACTTCCTGTGTCTAAATATTATCATGCGTAGGCAAGATACATTCGATAGAGATGAAATCTAAGAAAATGCGATTTCCGGAAGCGGCTGGCTGCTTTCGCGCGCTGTCGCGCCATCGTCACGATTCTTGAAATGCCCTATACTTTCAAGATTGTAAGTTTTGTAAGCTTTGCAGCTGTCGATGTGCCTCTGGCTATTCTCTCAATCTGTACTACCTTATCCCCACATTTTGCATCTTACTTTCGCTCGAAATTTCGCACAAACTTGTCAGTCCTCATTTTAACAGTCTGTGGAAACTCTAAGATCTGCAAATGTCATGTTCCGAAAAGAGTATCACTCAATGATCTCATTGTTGTCTGTATTATGTATTTATCTGAAAGACCTTTCCTCTTTCTTTTCAGCCTTCTCTACGACTATGATTGTTCTCAGATTCTTGGTTTATCCGCAATTTCATCAAGCTGCTCAACTTTTGACTTACTTGAAGCGATACATGATTGTTTTGCTTGCTCAGTATCATTGTTATTAGGTTGTCTCATAAGTTTTTTTTCAATTTTGACTTTCTGAAGCAATAACCCACATACTTCTCAATTCTGATTGTAATGCAGGGTACCCTCGATAAAGCAAAGCAAGCTCTATAGACGACGTGTAAGAATTTGCACCAGCTTCAGCACATCATAAATTAGAAGCCGAAATCTGAAAACTTCTGGATGCCCGAAAAATTGAAAACTTTCTGTTAACTTTGCCCGAAGAAAACTTACCAAATCCCGAACTCGACGCATATGCACTCCATAGAACACATTCATACGTGCCGTTGATGTGTTTGTTTCTATGCGAGAAACCGAGAAAACTAAAATTTTCAAGTTTCCAGAAAGCGATGCTGCCCTGTTTTCTCACTAGTAAATGTATACTACAGGCCTATAGAAGTACAGTCAGATTTCCAGCTTTCTATAAGTTCTAGTGTCCAGGATATATTAATTTCAACATGTAATACCTTAGCAAAAAAGCTAGATTTGGTACTTCTCAAGAACAAGCGCTTCCAGGAAGCTGAATTTTCCGATGTATTACTGAAGGCCTGTAGTATACATTTACCTGTGTGAAAACAGCGCAGCATCGCTTTTTTGGAAGCATGAAAATTTCAGTCTCGGTTTATAACACAGAAACAAACACAGCAACGACATGAGTATGTTTTTGGAGTATATATGCGTGAATGAGTTTGGGACCTGGTAAGTTTTCTTTGGACAAGGTTATGAAGAAATTTCAATTTTTTGGACATCCAGAAGTTCTCAGATTTCGGCTTCTAAATCATGATGTGCTGAAGCTGGTGCAAACTCTTACACGCCATCTTATAGAGCTTGCTTTGCTCTATCGAACGGTACCCTGCATCATAATCAGGATTGAGAAATATGTGAGTTATTGTTTTAGAAGGTCAAAATTGAAAAGACTTATGAGATAATCCGATACTTCCAATACTGCCTTGATCCCTTTCTGTAAAGTGAGATGTAAAGTTTTTTTTATCTCGCATAAATAGCTGTGCACTTTACATTAATACACTAAAGGATTTGGCACGGCAGCTCTTGCAACACTGAAAATAGTCTTCACTTTCTGCCGAGCTATTTTGTCTGTGAGCGTAGCTGTCTTGTGGCAAAGGGGGGGGGGGGGGGTTCTACAGATGAACGCTATTATGCTTCCTTCAGTTGCTTACCTAAATAATTACATCGTACTTCATATTGATCGGATTGACAGGGCTCGGCACGAGCTGGCACCAGGGAATTTTGAAAACGAAGTCCCCTTTGAAATTTGCCAATTTTTACGAAGTCCCCCTTGACTTTTGGGAAATTTTACGAAGTCCCCTTTGATCCTCAACGATATCCCCTCTAAAATCCTAAAAAAATCCCCAAAATCCCCCAAAAAACGAAACGTCGACTAAAAAAAAAAAAAAAAAAAAGGTCGTCGCCACCAATTTTGCGTATGTCTTCGCCCACAAAAACGAAACCCCCTTTGCTTTTTGCCCCAAAAACGATATCCAGCTTGCCCCGTGCCAGCTGGTGCCAGGCCCTGCGGATTGATCATCTATCTGAAAATTATATATGAATATAAAAATATCGTACTCCATCTCGATCCGGTTGACCATCCATCTCAAAAAGTGTATTGTGTTATGATTTCTCTGATTTGAAATTTGAGCCTTCATCAGGTTCAGTAATATTCAGTACTGGTTAGTGTTTGAAGGAAGTGCTTTTTTAACTTCGCCTGCTCATTATCGTGGCTATTTTTCTACGATCGACTTGATCAATTGAAAAAAGCGCTTTATTATGGAGAGAGCAAAGCTGCTTTATACAATTCGGTGGTTGGTGTTGAGCGACTGTTGTTCCTATTTGCCACAGCTCTAGCATTGACATGATGAGAATTTCACTTATCCCACACACGTTTTCTGCGGCGCCACGAGTCTATTGCCGTCTCCCCATGAAGAAGTTACGCTCGGTGTCATATTTTACTAGAGCAATGTTTATTCGGGTATCCTTATGATTTGTCTTCTTGAGTTACGTGGTCCTGATTATTTGACGTTTACATCTGAGATCGTGTGTTGTAGGTTGGGGCAAAGTCCTCAATGGCTCCAGCTCCAGTCAGGGCAGAAGTACGTTTGCGAGCTAAACGAGCCGTTAGGAAGACCGCGAAGCACCTGAAAAAATCGTTGAAGCAATCTTCTTTAGATAATGAGGAGACTTGGCACTTGTTGGAGAAGTAAGTATTTCAACAAGTATTATTCGAAGGCGTTATCACACAAACAGCAATAGATTCTCCACATACTCTGGTAGAAGGACCGAGCGCCTACGGCCACTGCCTAAGTCCGATTTGTTTGACACTCTCTATCCCCGGAAATTCTTCAAAAAAGAGTAAAAATTTCAAAACTCAAAGGGCCCGCGCTGGTCGTGTCGGTTGTCCCTTTCATATCTTTGAAGCTGTTGCGAAGGCTAGGTAGGAAAACACCTCTTCTTCTAAGTTTACTAGAACCTTTTAAAGGCGGGGTTTTCGCATATTCTATATGGATACCTGTGCATCGGCACGAGGTGGCTTTCCGAAAATGCAAAAAGCAAAGTCCCCCTTGACTTTTCCAAAATTTTACGCGGTCCCCTTAAATCCTAAACCATAAATGTAAAAAACCCTTTAAAAAACTAATCGTCGACTTCAAAAAGTTTTTTTGTCCGCAAAAACGATGTCCCCTTTGGTTTTTGTCCCAAAAACGATATGCAGCTTGTTCATAAGCCACCTGTGCCGGACCCTGTTCCTGTGTGGGATCAGATAGGTTCAAAGGCTTGTAATATACAAAGGTCCGACATCTAAATTTTGGTCACTGCGTTCAGTTATGGCGGAAAGGCATTTGAAAAGTCATCTTGAGGTCATGTTCCGCGAAGTGAATTAGTTGCGGTTCGTTTGACAGTGCGAGAATTTTTTTTCATGAGTTCGTTGCAAAACGTACGTGGGTAATTACCTTCATTCGCTACAAGATTTTGATGCGTGGTACGTTCGAAATTTTTTAGCCACTTCCGGAGTTATGAAAATATGCAAATGACTCGTTTATACTTGTAAATGAGTGAAATTTTTCGTTTTATTGAAAGTTTCAATTTTTCGAAAGTATTAGGTCGTTCCGAAAGTAATGTCGCTTTTTTCAAAAGTACGTCACATCTCTTGGAACAAAGATGTATAAGAGATTCTGGTAGCATTTGATGCAGCATTTCATTCTCTTTCTAAGGGTCATATAATCACTGCACAAAGTCCGATAACCTCTCGAAAAATTATCAAAATCTGCGACCCATGCTTTTTGAGAAAGCCAGGTTTCACAAATTTTCCAAACTTTTGCAATAGCTAGTCAAGTAATGGATGGATAGAGCAAACCCTACAGAAAACAGCACAACTTTTTTCTACTTTCCAAAGCTCGTCATAATTTTTGTATAGATTTTTCGATGGAACCACAAAATTTTAGCAATCTCGTCTCAGACATAAATACATCAAACACCAGTAAATCTTCGGATTTTGGAACTTACAAAGATGGGTTATGGTTTGACACTAATTTTACAAACCAAGTGAGCATTCACCGCTTCAGAATAGCAACTTTCGAAAATTCCGGGTACAGCCTGGGGCGCCTTGGAAAACTGAATTATGATGACTTTATCCCGGATAGCTCGATGAATCGGAAACAAAAAACAACCGGTAGAAAGAGGAGAAAAAGCTGCGTCGAATGACACCCGGGTTGCTTGCCGGTTGTTGTTCTGTGAGGTCTGATTTGGCCCAATATGGAATTTGATGGCATTGAAAAAGTGATTCCAGAAACTCCAAGAAGCAAGCTAAGAAAAAGAAAAATTACCCTGTGTCCTATAGGGTTTGCACTATTTACCTGTCAATTGTACTTCTTCGAAGAGTAGGTACAAAAATTTAAAAAATAGCCGAACTTGAGCATGGCAAAAAGCATAAGTCGCAGATCTCTGTAATTTTTCGAGAACTCATTGAATAATATGCGATGAGATTACGATCGTTAGAAAGAGGATGAAAATGCTGCATCGAATGCTCCTAAGAACTCTTGCAAATCTTGATTCCATGAAATGTGGCGTTCATTTGAAAAAAGTGACATTACTTTCGAAACGACCTAATAATTTAAATTAGCTTTGCAAAAATTTTTTTTTGGGATCGCGCCTGTCGCCGTCTTTTCCCATAAATTTAAGGTTGGACTCGCAGAAATTTTGGGAAGCATTCCAGAAAATCTCTTAGTGCATGGTTGACGCCATCATCCATTATCAGAAAAAATGTTTCCCATTCCCCCCCCTTCCCCTGACGGGTGTTGGTACCACAGCGGCACTGGTATATATACTACATATAACGGCACACACGAAAGAATCAACTTTATCAAATTTTCCCGCCCACATCTGATTTCCTCTCCTCAAAAAATTGGCCTCACTTTTTAAACGGCCGTCATCCAAGTCTTGCCCACTTACATACAACGAGTCGTTCACGCTCGATCGATTACTAATGCATGGTTAATGTATCATATCCGAACAGATTACTCGGATTTGAGAAATCGATACCCACGGCTTGCAATTTTCAAATGTCTCGTATTTTATTAGGTTGTGTAATAAGTTCGTTCGCATTTTATGTTTCAATTTTTTCTTAGTATTTTACAAGACATTTGGCATAGTGTTAGTATGCATTCGGAAGCTCTAAGTCTACCCTACCAAAATACTATCATTATATTCCCAGTTTGTAAAAAGTTGAATAAAAAAGTCGACTACAATCCGAAAAATCTGATTGGCAAAAATCCCATTTTCGACAACTATGTTATGCCGCACCTTGAATGGGTTTGAGCGCTTAATAAACAGCCCAAAAATTTTGCGACATGTATAAATAGAATACTATAGCTCCCGCAGATTACCTGTAGTGCTAAAACCTTTCAAAAACAATTCATATTGTAAGCTCAAATATAGGTATGTTTTTATGTCTTTTTGGTGTCAACGTTAAGCATCTGAAGGCACCTCTGAAGAAAGGTGGTAGCCGAATAATCCAGAAATTGGCAGACATGTGGTCTACGATCGCTAAATCATCGAATGAATAGCTCATATAGTCAAAAATTCAGAATTCGAGGGACACATAGCCCACGGACGCGAAACAACGAACACCGCTGCGGCAAAGCCTTGCTAGACCGAGTTTTGCAAAAATTGCATTAAACGGTCGGTGAAAGGAAATGGGCAATCGTAAATAGTATCAGTAAATGCATAAATTGTTAGTCAGTTGTTTTTCTTCGTAGTCAAGCTTTTTGAATAAATTTCAACAAAGAATAACGGGAAAACTAAGGAAGAAAAAAGATGTCGAAAATGGGATTTTTGCCACTTTAGATTTTTCGGTTTGTAGTGGAATGTTTTATCCAAATTTTCAAAAACTGAGAATATAATGATAGTATTTTGGTAGAGCAAACTTAGAGCTTCCGAACGCATACTAACACTATGCCAAATGCTTTGTAAAATATTGAGAAAAAATTGAAACAAAAAATGCGAACGAACTTATTACACAACCTAATAGATTAGAGAATTGCACCATTCATGGCCAAATTGTGACTTTATTGAAGGATAACTGTCCGAGTTGTGTGTTTCAGGTCACAAACTGATGATGTCTCCAGGATTTGTGCTAGACAATTGCTGTTGTTGAGAAGTCAGCTGAAGGTCTTCAGTCTCCTGTGTTTGAAGAAATTTGTCATGTGTTTTCTTCTTTGCAGGATAGGCTGAGAAGTTATGTGAATGGTGAGTGCTCTATTGAAGATCTGGTGCTCCATACTGGCTTGAATAGAGACGTGGTTGATTCTATTCTAGAGAAGTATACCGACGACAAGGAAGGTGGAGGTGGTGCAACCCTACTTTTCGAAGATAAATTCATTATTTCTTCTTCTTTCTTAGAATTCGATAATGAGGATTCGGCCAGAAGTTCGCCATCCCCTGGGACTACGGGAAATCGATCTACCAATAACGTCACATTTGTTGTTCCTAAACTTGACATTGCTGATGTGCGCAATGACGCTGAGACTGACGAAAGCTCCACACCGTGAGTTCATTGTCATATCGTTATAGACAGCTTCAATAGTCAGTTTTGCAGTCAAAGTGCTCGTGATCGCATTGAGCAAATTCCGCAAATTCCTCATATGTCTCAGCCATCAACACCTCAGCGAGTCCTGGTGGGAAGATCTTTTCTTTTCCCAGTTTTCTCATTTCATGTTTCGGTGTTAGGCTCAGCAAGATCCAGCTCCAATTCTGAATTGGAGCCCTCGTGAGGTACCTGATAGTTCCGCTGAAATAAGTGATTTGGCGAAGAAAGTGAGTTTTTTTCCTTATTTACCCCCTCCTCTCCACACTTTCGTCATGATTCACCTTACAGCTTGGTGTTCGACTTTTTCAAGACACTTCAATTCTTGAGCAGCTTCAAAGCGTCAAGCGTGAAAAATCTTTTGTTGAGCAGCTTCGTGAGTTGGTTGCATCTTCTTCTCGAAGAGATCCACCTGCGAAACCACTTCAGTTCATTCCTTCTACACCAATAGGTAATTTCATTGAGATTCAGTGATTTTTTTTTGTTTTACGGATATTGTCAGCTTCACAAGCCAAGCCACCAGTACATTCAAACATAGAGTGCAAGGAAATCGATGTGCAAACGTCCTGGGTCGGCGAACCGAAAAAGGAAGTCAGTGATGATGAATTCGATATCACGCATGAATGGAATCTGTTATTCTATTTAGATGCGTGACAATGCTACCGATTTGCCCTCTTTGGACTATCTCTCCACGTCAGAACTGGGTGGATTACGGCAGCTTCCAGAGACTTTCGTCGCTCAGGAGGAAGTGTCATCATCAGCATTCAGTTCTGATCAGAGTGCAGGACAAGTCCCTCAAAGCCTAATCAGGTAAGTAATTGAGATTTCTTGGCTCCCATCTTGAACGCATGCATAAAAAGTTCTTGTAGTAGGCGGCGCAGCTTAAGAGTATCTTTTTATGCTTTCGAAATATTCATTTTATGTTGCTTACCTGTCTTCAAGTAATATTGCTGCGTACCTTTTTTCAGATGACTCTAATATATTTTTTCTATGTGTCTAAATTACGCTTTTATTATCTTCCCTTTTGCTGTTAGCTCCCCTATCTTCTCACCCCGGAAGCTAAGACCATGTTCTGTGTTTTTTTAACCCTTTGCAACAGTTAAGGCAGACTCAGAAGTATGCATCAGTGCCAAATGCAAATAATGGGGTACAGATTTTTGATGGGTTGCGCATTTGACGTGAAGCAAATTCAGCATGAGCATCAAAAGAAAAACTCAAAAGTTTTAGTTTTTTTTTTGTACTTTTTGGTGTCATTCGCTTTTTTACTCCTTTGGAGCAGAGCTTTCAACTGCATGAAGCCCTTCCACTCAGTCTTGTTGTTTCTAATTGTATCGCCCCCCTCCTCCTTATGAAAAGAGAGTCTCTACAGACAGACTTGCTTCATATCTGAAGTTATCTGTTGTACAAGATGATCAACGTTTTTACTTTCGCCAAAATTTTACTGCTCGCACTTGTAATTTTGCCCCCGCTGAGTTTTGATTCTGTTTTCTGCGCATTCGATAAGAAGTGGAGAGAAAGATTGAGAGAGAGAAAGAAAAAATGTTCAAACAAAGCATAAGGTGTTCCTGAATCTCCAGTGCCTTTACTAGGTTCAGTCAAATGCGCACAACGATACCTGTGGACCGTGACGGCAGTGCGTTTTTGGCTCCAGCGAAAGGCGTCAAAGTTTCCGAATCTATGGAGTATGCTCCAGTGAACAGCAAGCAAATTACGAAGCAGTTTGACCAAGCTCCTGAAAGTAAGTTCTCTTCCTGGGTATGTTGTGTTTGATGATGTTGTGAATTTCATGTCTTCAGAAGTGACTGAGAATTCCACCCCGCGCACTCCGCGTGTGTCCGAGTCACCTTGGCGACCATCATCTCGTCGTCTTCATCTCGAAGAAGTTGATATCTCCACAAGCCAAGACTCTAATTCCATCGGTGAGTAAATCCAGGTTTATGCTTCTGCCTCACTGCGTCGACTTACGAGTTTCCTGTTCGTGGACGTTTAGATTCGATTTTTTTTGAAATCATGGATTCTAGAGGTTATTTCTGTCGGGACTCCTCGCCGACTTCCGCTGGCTAATCCAGACGATGCACAATCAGGGCATAAAGTGATTCCAGCAGCCGAAGGAACGTGTATGTGACAAAACCAGCATTACATCCTCGAATGACATTAATTGAGGATTGGTTTTTCAGCTGCACAAATCTCTTTGAAAGACAGCTCTGATTTGAGTCATCAAGATGAGGAACACACTTATAATCAAGTTTCGCAAATCGTCAGCGAGTAAAATATAGTTTTTGTAGAACTTGATAAGCAATACGGAGTCTTCTGCATATCTGCTGATCTCTATGTGATTGTGTCAAAGGTGTCCTTGACCTGCTTGTGCGGTTTCGGTCCCAATGCCAAACTTCCTTCAACTCGTTTGATCTCGTATAAGTTGATCTCGATTTTTCTTTGTTTGGTATAAAAATTTATTCCATATCCTTGAAGTGTGGAGAAGGGGTCACCCCACTTTTGTTTCTGATACCTATTCCTTTGTGCAGCTTGCGTTAAACGTTTTCCATTGTTTGATGTCATCAGCACATCTGTTTCCTTTTCTTTTTCTCGTTACATCTCTATAATTCGCTGGAGTACTTCGCTGCAGCGGATACATCAATCATTCGAGCTACTGAAGTTCCACCACATTGTAAATCACGTGAACTGGTGCCGATTGTCTCTTATCATTTCACGGTTTATCTGTCAAGTTGGTTGAACTCGCAACATTCTACACTTTGCTTTCACAATCTCATTAATCATCTTATCATTGGGTGAGCGATTTTTCCGGAATTGTTTCTATATGATCTGTAACGATGGTAATTCGTTGTATTCTGTTCTGTCTAATATCTGAGATTTTGCTCGAATAATTTCTTTTCAGCACGAAGAGTCGGGCGTTGTGTCTCGCCTCCTTGGGGCGAGCACAAGGGTAATCCCACTGCGAGCATGAGCGGCAGCTGTGGAATCGAGAAGTAAGTGCTCGTTGATAGAATCTTACGACTGTACATGAGAGGCATTTTGATACTCTGATTTAGTTAAGGGGTTTCTGGTTTTTTTTCTATTATGGTAAATAAAAATAGTTGGTTTCGAGAAGTTTGGAATGATCAGTGAATTAGTGACGAGGTATATGGCATTGTGAACGATTCAGCGCTTTGTTGTCAATGGCAATGTCAGGTCTGAAAATTTAATCAAGCAAAAACAAACGTAATGCACTTAATTAGTCCCTGTGAAAGATGGCTCTGTGTTCTGCATACTGAAGAACTATCTGGAGACAATCCTCTCTTTAGCGATTAACGAATGACTATTGAGTTTTTATTCCGTTACCTTGGTTTGGCCAATCTTCGCCTCTAATTACCCTTTCGAGTCACCTAATTCTTCAAAATCATGGCTTAATTTGAGTGTGCTTTGTTTCTATTCTAATAGATGCTACAGTGGCTGACAAGTTCAGCATTCTCCTTTGGTTTTCCTGGGGCTATATGTATCAATCTCATTTTGGTAAGGTTCCCCTACAGGTCGTATTCCAATCAGACGCGGGCGCTAAAGGCCCTTGATGCGCGAACTTGGGCGCCTGATCGTGCAAAAGCCCGGTCAGGCAGAATCGGTTACGTCTGCAATACCTGGACACCTTGCCGATCTCGTTTGTGTATGAATTATGGGAAAGAGCGCGTCTCTTTGATTAAGTGGCTGAAAACGTGAATTCGACTGATCGAAAGCACTAGTCATCGAGTCAGATTTAATATTAGGGTGAACGGTAAAAAATGGAACAACTAGAGAATAATTGTAGATTTTTCAATAGAGAAAAGTGAATACCTCTTCTAGACAATACCTATATAAGGTAATTTCCATGCCTAAAAATTTTTATGCTTGCTAAAATGCAAAGTTAATCACTTCGATAAATTATGAACTTTAAGCAGTATCTGCGCAGTGAAACATGTGAAACTACCCAACGTACCACTACTGCAATCAGTAAAGGTACAGTCACCAGATCCACGATGGCTTGCTGGGCACAACTTCAAAGTCTGTAATGGTCATTAGCCAGTTCGAGAACGGATATGTATGTTATTTAATGCTTTGCTAGTGAACGCATGTTTTTTGGCTACCATCTGATAGAGCTCTTTACGCTCTACCCACCCATATACGTTCTACCCCAATTTTATTCTATCTTTGAAAATTATAGATTAAAGCATGATTTTTTGGTTTTTATTGCGCCATAAAAACGCAGCCTTTCAAGTTTTTTGCTTTTTTATCTGATAGTAAAAGGAATCTCACATATCTAATGTATCAATTGAAAGGGCATGAAGTACTCTTTCGAATGGTATTTCATTTGCTTCCGAGTTTATGATATAGCAGTTCAAGATTGAGAGATGTTCAAAAAACCCTGTTCGAGTTCTTCACGGCGCCACGCGTAAGGTTGTGGGAGAGGAACATTAACGCGTTATCAGAATAATAGACGAAGGTTGCTTATGCAAGCGACGTTTGAGCTGCCATTGAATCTTACTCGATGATTAGTGATTGAATAGTTCAATTTGCTAACGTCTTCGACCGCTTGATCAAAGTGCACTTTTTTACATACATACACAAAGAAAATCGGGTAGGTGCCCAAGCATTGCAGACCTAAAGGATTGTGCCTGACCGAGCTCTTGCACGATCAGGCGTCCACGTTTGCGCCTCACGGGAGTTGGGTGCCCGCTTCTGGCTGGATTACGACTTGTACGGGAACACCGAACGGGAGATTGATACATACCGCCCCAATGTTTCCATTGATAGCTTTATTCTAGCTGCAGAGTGGCGCACGGTCGACGATGAAGGAGTACAAAAAAGCTAGGCAATATAGGGACTGAAGAAGCTTGTTAACATAACAAAAGTCTGTAACGCTCCATCCGCCCTGTAACTGAGGGAGTACCCTACCACTAGCTTTCCAGGGGTAGGGGAACGAAGGCCGCCAGTTTGAGCCGCCTTTCGCGGCCAACTGGTCCTTTTGCAGTGTCGTTGCATGTCGCTCCAGGACCAGTAGTCTGTGGGGGCGGTCCAAACTGGTGGCTTTTGTTCCCCTACCCGCTTTACAAGGATGTAGCCACCCGCGCCGCGTTCGCGACCGCTCAACTAAAGTTGCTAATGCGCCACCGTTCGGAGCGGCCATATCAATCTTTTCCACTATGTCTATTCGTGCATACTTACATTCTTAACATCTGCCGTGTCTTGCAAAGCAAACACACTTTTTGAGGAAGACGCAACAGCAACTGGTTGCATATGATGGCTCTCATCCATCATGGACTGGGTGAAACGTCAATGCTACCAAGAAGTTGAAATTGTACTTTTAAACTTGTCAGAGCTTATCGGACAATAGGCGTAGACTTTTCAGCTGCTTCTCTGCTTATAAATGTGGACTGGTAATGGTCAGAAATCACAGCCTACGCGAAATTCTCGCGAAGCGGTACATTCGATTCATAACACCAGAACTAGCCGCCGTTTCTCCGACCAAAAGAGCTCCTCCATCGGAGGAGCAGGTGGTAAGAGAAACGAAAGAGCGCTTGATCAGAGAGATACGGTACGATACGTCCGTAGTCTTTGCGTGCGATGCATCACCTAATAATGCCGTATAGAACTATTCGCGAGTATAGGTAACTATCTTTCTTCGAATCTGACCAGTTCAAATACGCCAAAAGTTTTGCAGCTAAAGAGCGTGCTGCGCATTACTTGAAAGAATTATGCGGGAGAGTGGCCGTTCTGCAAGGCACAATGTCTGCTGTCTGAAGGGTGGGTATTGCCAGAAATTTTCTCGTTCAATTCTGGTGTTGTTATCACGAAGGTAGCGACTCGCACGAAATGCATATCATTAGATGCACCTTGTCAAACTGATTCCGAATCTAACTTCCATACTACTGAGAAGGTTCTTACAACCGATGAGCGTTTGAAAGTCCAAATATGTCACATCCATTGCCATACTTTTAAGAATTAGTTCTTAATAACACGATCACGTTTCAGGGAGCTATACCTTCCTAATACTCAGTACACTGAACACCATGCCAAAAACGTTCCCCAAAGCGAACTTAAAAGCACACTATGCACTAGAATTTTAGCGAGTTCGCACTATAATCGCTCAGAACTTCTTGTAGAAGTTGGCTCAGTTATAAAGTAGATTTGGAATGAGCTCATGCATTTTATTCCAGTCCACCACTGCGACTTGGAATCCTCCTCTTGTTAGGTAAAAGCTCGCAGAAGTATTTCGGCGGGGATACTTTTAAAGATGCGCCGCATGTGGACTGTACATCACCCCCATTGTTAAATCTGTTAGGTTTAGTGCGAAGTTGGTTCGATATTTGTGAAAAATCGTAACTTTTCGTCTCTGTTACTGCTGTACTAAATAGCCTTGAAAAGGGTAAGCCTTTTCTATTTAAAAGTCTTGTAGGTCCCTGCTGTTCTGACTGCACAAATAAAATAAAGAGATGATATCCAAGCTTATGGTTTCAAGCAAGCGTGTTAATCAGAGAACATGCAGTGAAACTCATATTTGGTATCCTGGATTCCAGAACTCATTCTAACCGTGCAATATTTACAATCGAGCTTTTTTTTTATGAAAAATCATGATTTTTGTGGAAAATGCTAAGCCAAAATTGGTTTTTGTCCAGTCTGTTTCACTTAGGACGTAACCGTGATAGGAACGTTTGCCGTTGATGAAGCTTTTGAAATTAAGTGTTGTCAGCTGTAAAAGAGATTAGGTAATGATGATGGATGGTTGCGATAAAATTCGATGAATCATAGTCTGAACGTCTTCTTGCGACTGAAGATAATAATATCAGAACACAGTTTTTGCCACGATGATATTCGGCCGTTCATCATTTCAAGCATTTCACACCTATTTTTCCATGACAGTGCGACATTTGTCCCTTCCCGTAGAAGTCAGTTGCAGACTGTACGTTTTTCCACATTCATCAGACCATGCATGTCTGCTTGGACGGTCATTGCAGTAGCTTGAAAAACTTGTGTTTCGCACTTGTGCAGTGAAATTTTGGCTAAGCCCATTCCCTTTTTTTTCCGGACGTAAGGCAATCATGAAGAAAGCGTATAGGATGATTAAAAGATAGCATGTTCGTTGCTAATTCTTTTTTTTGCAATCAAGCCTGAGCAACAGTTCTGAGCCTTCCTCGTTCTAACATTTTATTCGGAATTTAGGCCGTGTCTTGAAATCTGGTGTACTCGCTTAATTTTGATGTCAGTCTACTTATACCTTCACTCGAATACTTATATTCTATTACCCCAACAGTAATTTGTTTTGTTCTCCCTTCTTCATTGATGCGATTCGCATCGATCTTGCTCAGGGCTTTCCTAGCATGGTTAGTGCCATTTCGCCACTGAATTGTTTGAGAAATGAACAATCTCTTCCCGGCTCTATGCATTGCATTCCAATACGAAGATATAGTATGTTCTCAGTTTGCGACTTCTTTTTTTTTTTTTTTGAAATAGCCATAAAATCACTAATTATTGACAAGCGAATAAGTTAGTTGCGTAGTTTTATAGCTCAAAAAGGCACTTTCAAAGCTGTCGCGAATCCTTCTATGAATATGGGGAGGGGTGGAGGGGGGGGGGGAGGGGGCTTTTCCTTTTCCTTAGATGAAGGATTTGCCGATGTCCGTTCATTTCCCTCCCGAGTCGCGCGAATAAGGAGGCGGGGGATAGGAAAAATCTAAACGGCTTGTGCTTTGTCCATGAATAGAAAAAATTCACACCTCCGCGCAGCTATGGATTAAAAGAGTGCAATGGTCCATCATCCGAACGTTGATTCACTCGCATTCATAAAAATTCTTTTGTAATTCTTTAATAAGTTATCTTCTCTTTTTGAATTGACAAGGTATTCAAACCTACCATGATGCATAGTGAAAAGTTATTGTAGAAATTTTTCAAAAATGTGTTGTATTGTTCTAGCATACATCATACTCTTACTGGCATAACAGCGCTTGCATTTTCAAATTTCTATCTTAAAGGCAGTGTCCGGGCAATAGTCGATTTTGAGATTTTGTGCTTACTGAGGCCTATTCGCTATGCTGAATCCGAAAATCCACATTGGAAAGCGCGAAAACGGCGAAAAAGGGCTCTAGCATAGGAGTAAAATCTAAAGGGGGCGGGGTCTTCCCCACGGTGAGTTCACGGTCCCAGCTTCCGGGGCGATCCTCTCGCTTCCGATTGCAGATCATGCATACGCTCTTGGTCTGTGGAGATGTCAGGACGGTTAGCGGGATTAAAAAGATCGCTCCAGAAGCTGAGACCGTGAATTCACCGTGGCACCCCGCCGTTTTTGATTTTACTCCTGCGTTAGAGCCCCTTTTCGCCGTTTTCGCACTTTCCAGTGTGGATTTTCGGATTCAGCATGGCGAATAGGCCCGGGTAAGCACAAAATCTCAGAATCGACTTTTTGCCCGGACACTGCCTTTAAGTATAGCCATAGAAGTAATTTCATGAGATCGAATGAAAGATGAGATATGAAAAATAAAGACAAACGGATTTATTTGCATGTTTTTATTGGAATTGCTAGGGATTGCCAGTGTGTAACATGGATATTTATGCGCAGTCCGACCCAACAAGATTCTGTGGCTCCAAAGTATATATAAAAGGATATGATTTATATTTGTGGTTGACAAAGTATTTTCGCGATCAAGTATCTTCTAAGTATCATTTTCAGCCCTTCTCTATACAAGAACAAACGAGCAACGCAAGGTGAAGCCTATGAACCAACAACATACGAACACTGGGCAAACACCATCTCCCATGCTGTTGGTATTATGAGATTTGGTCGCTGGTATGGATTTATATGCTCAAATTTAGATTGGCATTGTTCCCAGTGTAGTGGTTTTTTATCACATGACTTCAATCGCTCATCGTGATCTACAGTTCTACTTGATGATCATTTATGGAGTGTTCACTACGTTGCTGTTCTCGTCTTCCACTTGTTATCACGCTTGTGAGCTGAAATACCGCCAAAAAAGAGCGTTGGTCAATGACTAATTTTGATATTACAAGTGTAATTCTCATTTTCTTTACAGGCAACCAAAGTTGCGGTATTATTTACACATATGTGATCGTGCCGCTATCTACTTGTTCATTGCTGCATCGTACACGCCGTGGTTGACTCTACGGCATTGTGGATACCCAGGATTAAATTTTAAATGGATGATTTGGATGTTTGCTCTGTTGGGCATCTTGTATCAATACAATTTTCATGAAAAGTGAGATATAGTCATTTGGCAGCATTTCCTGGTATTGTTACTTCTTTTAGGTACAAAACCATAGAAACGGTGATATACATACTAGTCGCTGTATGCCCATCTGTTGCTATTTTCTCCATGGTGGGTTCATATTTACATTTTGAAGGTAGCGGCTCGGCAAAATGACTGCCCTCGTGGCGCTAGGTAATACCACTCGCAAGCATACCGTAGCCCCAATGCCACCTTCCAGCTGATGTGCTAGGCCCTAAAAACGAGCTAAAGGCCACAGCCCGTCCCAGTTCTATTGGTTGGTGTTGGCCTTTTAGGTTTTCAGCATTTAGCGCATAAATTAGGGGTGACGTTGTCGTTAAGCTGGGGTTTAGGCTACAGTGTACTTTAGAGTTCTCCTACCTAATAACGCAATCTGACAGGGGTCCATTTTGCTGAGCCGATCCAGGTGAATCTGGCTAGGAAATGGTCAGAAATCGATGTGGCCAATTCAAACAAGCTGCATACCATTGGATGCAGCATAGAACACTCACTCAAATCTGTCTTCCATATCTGCCGAAACGCCTTTGTAGACGAAGTTATGAGCAGTTTTACTGCCAAAAATCGTACAGAAAATGCGAAATTGAGCACATTGCTGTTGGTTTATTTCACTTTTAGGTATGGGCTATACGAGGTAATCTAGCTACATGTTTTGGCCCAGCATTTAGACGAACATAACTCTATGGCCGAGCTCGCACTTATGCACTATTACTTAGCGATTAATGGCTTATAATGGCTTATAGCTTCATCCATAAAAGTATTTAGCACATAACGAAGACAGATTTAGAGTCAGCGTTCTTTGCTGCATCTAATGGCGCGCAGCGTGTTTTGTTTGACCACTTCGACTTCCAACCATTCTTTTGTGGATACTTGATACGCTTGAAGTGTGAAGATCGGAGGAGAGCAATAACTAAGACATTTGTCATGCAGCAGCCCATGTGAATTCGTGGCCGATAAATTCGGCTCTAAATTCTCCACCAGGCCCACTGGGGTAGGGGAACGAACTCCGCCAATTTGAGCCCGCCTTCGCTGGCAACTGGCCCTTCTGCTATATAGTTGCATGTCGTTGCAGGGCCAGTAGTCCGCGGAAGCGTTCAAACTGGCGGAGTTCGTTCCCCTACCCGGCCCACTCTTTCGGGAATTGCCAGCATTGTGCGTTGTGTCGAGACGCAGACCAATTAGATGGTCCGACAGTCTCCAGGCCGACTTGGGCGGTGCCACCAACTTCAGATGAGCTGGCACTCCCCGGGTGCTCGGTGGTCCCCTCCCCAATTATGTTCCCCCATATTTATATTAATGTTATAACGATAAAAGGATCTAGTCAAGAACTGTTATGTTAGAGCAAAGGAAAGAAACTAAGGGTAGAGGGATCAAGTTAAGAGAATAGCTAACTCTTCAAACTTGACAGTTGTACTATCAGTACGTTGGAGGGGATACGGCCTGAGCAAAAGTTTACAGTTGAATTTTTCTACCAATGGCTTAGTTAAGGTTTTCCGAACAGCTTTCACAAGAAGTCCAACAGCTTACATTTATTTGGCCTCAAATTCAACCTTGATGCTTTTTCAGAATGATAGAACAGGCTTAGAATGGATGGCTGTTGGTGGTCTGGTCTACATAATCGGAGTCATATTCTTCAAGATGGATGGTGTTATACCATTTGCTCATGCCATTTGGCACATACACGTCTTGATAGGTGCGATAATGAATTCTAAATTTACTGAAGTCAGTATTGATATTTTCAGGTGCGTCATGTCATACCTATGCTGTATATTCTTCGCTGCTCGGACCTGATATGAACAATCCAGTCCCAGATGTTTCTAAAGTTGAACTATAACACACAAAAATCTCATCGACAAGGTCAATCATCTACTAGGTGCTCAGCAAACTTTTGAGTTTGCACTGTCTAGGGTAAAATCTCAGTGGTTCTATCTCATATGGTATTTTACAGCATCTGTACTCTGTTTTCGTAGAGTAGATAGGATCTTAGGCCGCTCCAGTAATTCTTGTTGCCCAACCAAAGCTTGTTGTGATTGTTCGAACTACGCAAAGTTTATTTATTTCCATGCATAAGGCCTGTCGAATTCTTGGTGCATAATATGATCTTCACACTACTTAATAAGTTTCCCTGTGCACATGCACTTACTAACGCTGAATCACCTCTACCTGAGCATGATATTATGTACATATTCGTGTGATAAACTTCCTAGGATGCGTGCTCGATTGTTGATAAACCTTGCCATTGTGTATTCGGATCATACAGGATTGGGAGAAAGTCCTTGAACACGATATTTTTCATCGTAATCATGAAGCTCGCAAAAACGATCACATAAAATCAATAAATAATGACTTTACAACCCAACGATTCCTCCTTTGACGCGAACAGAAGCTCGAAAATGCTTGGAAACGCTGTCCATTGTCGCAGGCTCTACAGTATTATTTGACTGAATGCAGGCTTTGGCTTAAAGAACTAACCGCATGCTGTAGTCGTGGGGTTCTGATACGGCAAATTTGGATGCCATTCAGCAGGAGCAATGAAGTTCTTAACGTTGCTTTGGAGCCATGCTTGAACAACCTTCGCTCTGTGCGCAGGTGCGCTCCTGCTATAGTCGTCCTCACCCCACTAGTCGGTCGGTGGTCGAATTTGAATTCGAACTGGAGCAGGCCCGGCCGCGGCAGAGCGCGGCAGACGTCGCCCCTTAGCCAACCGCTTGCACTAGGCGCGGCGTTTGCCGCGCTCTGCCGCGGCCGGCCTGCTCCAATTCGAATTCAAGTTCGACCACCGACCGACTAGTGGGGTGAGGACGACTATAAGAACACCAATCCTCCCCGTAAAATGGGTATTGGTCAGACCAAAAATTCCTTCTTCAGGATGCTATCCAGATGCGTAGCAGCATCCACCTTGATGCACTGAAACACAAAAAACAGCGGCATCTTGCCGTTGGAAGCGATCGCCGCGTTAACCATCACGGAAGCCGGATAAAGCTTTCCTTCTGCGAGCCAACCCTTGCTGTTGGCTTCTTGGCACGATTAGCAATGACTCTTGTTCTGACGACCAAAAACCTACTTCACGGTGAAAATCTTGATGTCAAAAAAGAGTATCGTCTAGTGGTATGCCTTGGAGACACGTACAAACATGTCGATGGCATCTGCGCAATCGGCTTAGCTTCAAAGCACTTCAGCATCCGGAAGAGCTTCATCTCAAGGTCCTAATTTACGAAGACAGTCTTGCCACCGTTGAAAGAAAGCTCAATCTAGTCGCCGAGGATTGCGACGAAGGGGCTGATGAACGATCTTCCGATTTTTGTGAGTGTTCGCAGTAGACACTTTACCACTCCCACAACAGTCCTGTGTACTGTCCGGTGGTGTTCATGTCCTGGAAACGACTTAAGGTGGGAAAGACATTGATCTGTGAAATTTCGAGAACCCGTGCATTCTGCTTTTCAGCCATCTTCCCATCCTGCATATTCGCTACCAGCGTTCACTCCTCTCTAGAAAAATATATCTCCGACAAGATAAAGTTGATAGTCTAGTTTTTGGAGGGCTTGTCTCAACAGTATAAGAGGCATTAAGAAGCATAAAAAGCATTTACATATAATTATCATATAGGGCATTCGAAAAATCGTGACGATTGGGTGACCGACCGCACGGGACACGCACGCACCTCTCGGCAACCGCATTTTCTTGGTTTTCATCTCTACTCGGATGATTCTTCTGCTTACATATGATTATCTTTAGACACTGGAAGTGACTGAGCCGAGCACTGGGGTGATGCCTTTTTGTACGAGTGTTTGCTCTTGTGGGCGCAAAAACCGCAGTCAAATCCGTCGTCACGATTTTATAAAATATCTATCCGAGGATACAATCGACATCGAAAATTGTTCAAGGACTTTCCTTCAACCCTGGAATATAGTTTCTAGGTTTTCGACAAAGATTGGTAGCAAGTTTTTTATCAGTTGACAAGCCAACGTTTCGGCATTGCCTCCGCTTTCTTTGGGGCCTCCTGAAATATGAGAATTTGAGACCTGCCCTCTTAAACATCTCGTTTGCAATAGATTTAGTCTAGCTATGATGGAGTGGCAGCAGACACAAATCTCTAAAGAAGTATGCTCTTAAACGATCAGCAAGCAATCTGCGTTTTCGTTGCTACATACCTAGCAAATTGCGACGACAGAGATCGCGATGATGAAGTCGCATGATGTATGCCCGGCCCTTGAGCTGTGTGACCCCCATTTAAAATTTTTTGAATGGGTAACCGTAAATTCTATACTTCATAGGCAACCGCCTTCTACCTTTCCTGATCATCCGTCTAACGTCTTTCTCAGGACTGCCTTCGGATGCCCAACATCAAAATTGTTTTAAAGTTTGCAGATGATGTTTTCGGAACTTTCTAGCGCTTGTGAACCTCCTGCAATAGCTAAACATTCCTTCTTCACACTTAGCAAATTTTGGGTGCTGTTTCGTACGCAATCTGACCAGTTTGGAGGGCCATATATGTAGTTGTTAAAAAGGATTTGTTACCTCTTTGATTTGCAAATTTCAAGCTTAAAAGCCTTTCTAAAATATTCTGGCATAGAAAAGAAAAGGAAAGATTTGGTAAAGCAGGCTTAAGACTTGCAAATGCATATATACATTTTTAAAAACACCGTTAAAATATTGAAAAATAGGAGAAAGAATGCGACAGATCTCAGCACAACCTGATAAATATTCGAATGACTCATTCTGATATGCAGAACAACTATATCTAAACTTGCTAACATACCCTTGGCCGATGGGCTCTGCACCGAACTCAAAAATTCAAACACGAATTCGAATAAGAATTCGAATGCATTCGAATAGTGATTGCCCATGTTCGATCGTTTTTGAATCTTGGCATTATTGGTAGTTGTGGAATGGTGTGTGAGCGTTATTCCAAAATTGTTAACAGTTCTTTATTGGTTGCTAACGTTTCGGCGCTTTCGCCTTCTTCAGGGCCTGGAACTCGATAAAGCAACCCATTCTTTCAGACGATAGGAAAAGACTCAGAATACTCTTTGAGAGAAAGCTAACGCGAAACATCGTCAGAAGTACAAGGACCATACCCACCTTAAAAAACACAAAGCGAAGTCAAAAGACCACCTATATACGAGACTACGCCTCAGCTCTTTTATATGTGCCGTGATGACTTGACCTCTTATTCATATCCGCATGGGAATTGATAAGTAGCGAGTTCCTGCGTGATGGCGATGCATTCTTCCTTTCTATTCAATTCTGGATTTTTGGCAATTATCCAAAACACCTCCAACGTTTTGCGAGCGAGGATCTCGGCTTCATACGGCAAGATTCTTGCTGCAACTTGTACCTTAGAATTGTTATGACCACTATACGGTGTTTTGCTAACGATGTAACGCTAGTCGAAAGCAACTTCCAGGCTCCAAAGAAGGCGAAAGCGCCGAAACGTTAGCCATCAATAAAGAACTGTAACAATCTTGGAATAACGCTCACACACCATCCCAAATTCGAAGAGTATTCGTTCGGAATCTCCATTTCCAATAATTCAAGTTTTTGGAATTTTTTTTGCAACCCCGTTTTTTCAATTACTCAACTTCTCGAATTTTATTCGGAACCCCGTTTTTTGCTTAGTCGAGTTTTCGAATTTTATTCAAAAATGAAAAACTCCGCTTTCGAATTTCAAAATATATTCGAATGTTTTATTCGAATAATAGAAATTTTGTTCAATTTGGATCCAAGTATAATCCACAGCCGATACGGCCTTTACAATCAAGCAAAGCCGTATAATGCCCTAGACCTATCTATCTAATATATAAAGAATCGTAAGCGCAATTCAAAAAATGTGCAAATAGCCGGAAACCGCGTGGCGGTCAGCGAACGCTCTTCCAAATAGTACCTTTAGACTTCTGTCTCAGGAATAGCTTCGATTTGGAATAGAAATAATGGAGTGGAAAAGACTTGCAGCATACGCTTTGCTAGCAAGGCTCGAGTCGCATCACCTTTAGATTACTGGTTCACTAGTTATTATATATAATGCATGTTCCGACAGATAACAGATGATGCGACTCGAGCCTTGCTAGCAAAGCGTATGCTGCAAGTCTTTTCCACTCCATTATTTCTATTCCAAATCGAAGCTATTCCTAAGACAGAAGTCACAGAACAATCCAAGTATAGGGCATTCGAAAAACCGTGACGATGGCGTGACCGCACGCGACACGCACGCTCTTCCAGCAACTACATTTTCTTGACCTCTATCTGCACTCGAATGGTTTTTCTGCATACATATGATAGTATTCAGGAAGGAAGTGACCAAGCTGGGCGTTGAGGTGATGCCTGTTTGTATGGGTGTTTTATGCTCCTGTGTGCGCAAAGATCGCATACAAACCCGTCGTCACGATTTTAAGAATGAACTATAGTCAAAAGAAGCATCAAAACAAAGAACACCTTTTCTAGAAAGATGATTCCGATAATTGGCAACCGACTAAGGAAAGTTTGAGTCATTCGTAAACAAAAATATTAACAGGATAGCGAACATAAATCAAATTGATAACAGTGACAACATGTGCTTGATAGGAACTTTTTGCATGCAAAGACAACGTGACCTGTGAATATTTATAAGCGGTCTTTAGTCGACTAGCCTGATTACCTGTTTTTGTGTAAAAATGAGTCAGCAATACTACTGCCTGCGTATGAACTCATTACGAGCTGTTCTCAACTGAAACGTGCATTAATCACACAATCATTGTTTTAATGTGTGCAAAGCACACACGATTTATTCTCAAAGATATTATTTTAACCTAAATCGCCTTTACAAAGCAGATCAAACCGTTTAGTAGAGCAGCAAATGCTGGACCCAAATCTATCTTACAATTAGTTATCTGCTATGCGCCCCTGGATGCCGAGTTTTGAGCATTTTTAGCGCAGAAAAATGGAACGCGCATTTGGGACAGAGCAACAAAAAAGCTCAGATGAGCGTGCGATTACGGCAGGTGTACGAAAAGAGGTCAAAATCTCCGATCTCGCCAAAAGTTCAAGTGAGGGACACTTTTCCGTATAAAAACGTCTACCTGTATGATTGCGGTAGGCGGTAGTGGGTCCCAATTCTAGATCTGACAAGGAAACGATACTCGATGTCCGTGGCTTTTTGAGATGAGTTGTACACCATTACACTCGTCCATTCGGAACGCTGATTCCGAATCTGCCTTCCGTTTCTGCTAATCGCTTCAAAGATGTTGTAAAGGATTGTGCGGACTTTGGCTGTTCACTGAAATATGTTCAAAGCGGCAGCAGTGACGGTGCGCGTGTGGTCTAGTGGTTAGCGCGATAGGCTCATGAGTTGATGCAGGTGTAGGTCCGAATCCTTTTGCGTTTTTCAGTTTTGCGTTGCCTCAATAAACCTTCTTTCGCATCTTCGAGCTAACTGAACGCCCTTACTCTTCAGAAAATGTGGAATTTAAAAATTTACTATTTGCGTTAAAATGTATCCAATGACCATAATTCGAGTGAATCTCGAACAACTTTAATTGAGGTAGTGCAAAATAAAAACACAAAAGGATTTGAACCTACACCTGTATCAAGTTATGAGGCGTTATGAGGCTATCACATTAATCACTAGACAATAACATGGCGCCGGTAGAGGCCGTTCTGGTGACCATACCGTTGGCTCGAAATTCCTCCATAACTTCCTTCAGAGAAACGATTAGCAGAAACGGAAGTCAGATTCGGAATCAGCGTTTGAAGGCGAGTGTAATGGTATACATCTCGTATCGTTCCCTTGTGAGTGGAATTTGGTCTAGAACGGTTATCTGACATGCCAATCACGAATATCGTAGTCTTCTTGCGCTTTAGGACTTTTCGTTGAGCCAGGTTGGTCAAGTAAAGGGTGAAAGTGTGTGTCTTCCTAAAACTTTGTGCGGGGCGGGGGGGGGGGGGAGGATAAGGATATCTGATGTCCTGGTATGCGTTCATCGCGATGATAAAGCCATTTCATGGATTTTTGGCATATGGGTTGGCCTATTTATACGCGGCAAAGAAGCGTAATCCAGCTAAAAAGGTATTAAAGCGAGCGAGCATGATATACGGAGGGAGGGGGGGGGGGGGAGGGAGGGCCAACTGAACGATAGCTAGTGCCAGCCGTATGCGTTGCGTAGGTAATTTTTCAGATTCTACATTTACGCCATGATGACGTTTAGGAATTCGGAAAAACGCTGGGAGCATAGCGGGCCCTAATCTTTACTTTTAAAACCATTTACAATCCATAAAGAGCATATCCCTTCAAAAAATAAGACTTTATGCGCGGAATATTGACAAGCGCAGGAGTAAAGTATGCTTATTTCCATCCATCGTTCATCTTGGCACACACCCTGATATACGTAATGATCATGCTCAAAACCTTCAAGGCAAAGTTTTGAGCGATTGGAATTTCGATCCAGTTGCCGTATACCCACCGTAACAAGAAAATGGCACTGCATTGACTACTAGCAATCAATTCGATATTCATGTTCAACGTGCCCAATAACCCCCTGACAAAATTAGGACAAACCCATAATTTCGGCCCCATACCATCTGCCGTAACTGCATCAGAAAGCCCCACCATACGAAAAGAGTATGATTGTCATGATAAGCATGCCCGACGACACCTCTGGACCTAATTCCAGCCAAATTTATTAATTAGACCCCCTACCGTACACCTACCGTAACCAGACGGGGAGGCGTTTTCGTGGAGAGAAAGTGTGATGTTCTTGATCAGCAGGTCAGATAATCCCCCTAGACCATTTCAAACAAAATCCACGATAACAAATTTGGGTCCGGATAGCTGAAGAGCAACAGCGCAGGAGTCTACGATGTCGCACAAAAAGACAGAGGCCTACGCGGGCTGTGAGCGTCTTCATTTTAAACGAAAAAAGTTACGATAGATTTCTAATAGGCTGCTGCACGACGAAGGCGCAATATCTTTAGGCGCGAACGCGGTTATATTAGCCAAAGAGCGCATGATGCGCAGGATTCATCTTTTGATTCATAGGTGCAAAGGCGGCAAGACGGACCATAAGCTTGCGTCTATCGTGCTATTGTTCACGTTCTACAAGTTCATATCATTTTCTAAACACACAGAAATTATAGTGAGCAATGTAAATTTCACTGTGAAGTACTGGGTCGCAAAAGTAAACCTCTTTTTCGAATAAATCAAGCTGTTTCTGTTTTTCTAGCAGACTTAGGGCACTGTTCGATAGAGCAAAACAGCGCTTTGGTGAACGAGATATACCAAGTTTAACATTTATTGAAAAAAAAACGAAAAAAAGTGACATTTTTGCATTTTCGGACTATTTTTGTTTGTTAAATCTAAACATTTATGATTATGTGATAATAATTTGAGTAGTTTGTTTTTCTCAATAATTATTAGATCAATAAATATTAGATGAATAATTCATGAGCTTGTTTACTATGTGTGTTTTTCGTATGATGACCAAGTTGCAGTTCCTTATAAAGCCTCTGGAAGGAGATGCGACCTCAAAATAATTGAAGAACGTTTGACTCCACACTTCACCTGGATTACGACTTATTGTTAGATGGATTCTTGGTGGTAGGAAAACGAAATTGTTTTGATTTACCTATTTGAAAGAGAAGTTTACTTTCGGGACAACCTAATGCATTTTGTTCAAGCTAAAAAAATGTCTCAGGTGTTTCAGTGAGGATGTCGCCCGTTGTCGCATAATGTGCAGACTCACATATTAATTTACAAATGACTTGATCATAAACATTTAAAATAGTGAGCAGTTTAAGGCCCCGGTCAGACTTCTCTCAAAAGCGCCTAAAAGCGCCCCAATCTTTCCAGTGTCTCTTCACTTTCTCGTGTGAGAACGAGATGAGGGAATTAGAGATTTGGGCGCTTTCGGACGTTTTTGAGCGAAGTATGGCCGGGGCCCAAGTTTTTGCTGTGAATACTTTGCAATTGGACAATGCAAAAGTTACGAGGAACATTCCATCACTTCAAATATGAGTCATGCTTTGCAGGGCTCATAGTGATGAATAGGATTGGATGGATACACCGGTCAATTATTAGAAGCGATGAATCAGCGTGTAACGTGCGCTAATCTGTCAACGCTACGACAAGGCAAACACACAAGAGATGGTGTAAAAAAGCCGCTAATAGTTTTGTGGCTTCTCTGAACGGCTGTCACACAAGAAGTGCAGGAGAAAAAGAAGTTGGATGAGTCAGTGGAACACAAGCGAAGGTGTGGCCTCTGTGTGTGTATGAGAGTGGATGACCGCAGACGTCGCCGCGTGTTTGCTATCGATCGACCGGCTGCGTACGGAATTGAAGACTTGTCAGCTACCTTCCATATAATCCAGAAGTACCCATCGGGAGCCGCACTGTATTCTGCCAGCAATGGAGCCTCCTACAGCCCCGGAGCTGCGGAACAGCGGGATACAATTCACTTTCCAGGTGAGCAGTTCATTTGAATTATCGATATGCATATTGACACTGTCGTCATTGTATTGTGTAACGTCTATGATTGGCTGAAGGAAATGATGATGTTCCGATATTTCCACACATAACTATCATGTTCCATAATTTTGTTCTCACACCTCTTCCAATATTTTTTTGTTGGCGGGCATTTGGTCAGCGCCGGGACAACCCTAACTAACTTCCTCTGTGTTCAGGCGCACGGGGTTATGATTTCACAATCTCTTTTTACACACAAAAAAACCAAGAAGAAGTTTAGAGCATTTGAAAAATCGTGACGATGGCGCGACCGCGCGCGACACGCAAGCCACTTCCGGAATCGCATTTGCTTGGTTTTCGTCTTTCTTCGAGTGGTTTTTTGCTTACGTATGCTAATATTTTGACACTGGAAGTGACTGAGCTGAACGTTGAGGTGATGCCTTCTTGTATGAGCGTTTTATGCTTCTGTGGGCGCAAAGTCCGCAGTAAGAGCCGTCCTCACGATTTTATAAATGAACTATACATATCATCGCTGGCGCACCGCATAACCGCGATTAGGTTTGCAAATTGCTTTTCTATGAGTGAACGTATCTTGTATGTGTCCAGCGACCTTTACTGGTTTTATTTGATTCATTTTTCTTCGAGAGGTTCTAAATCATAATAAGAGTCATCAAGATGCTCACCATGTCCACTTTCACTGCAATTTACATCAGGCTATATAGCGCAGTATATAAACTAGAATTCCAAGCTCTTGGATTTCTCTGATTCGTGCACAGAAATGTAAAAAATTCACATGGCATCGTTCCTAACCGTACACTTATTCGGCATAGTAGGACACTTTCGCGACGGTAATGGTTCACGGTCAAAGTCCAGAACAGGGCTCAGCCCGAGCTGGCACCAGGGAACTTTCAAATTTTCGATTTTCAAGTCCCCCTTGCTTTGCCTAAGTTTTACGAATCCCCTTTGACCCTACACTCTAAACGTAGAACACCCTCAAAAAACGTCGACTAAAGTTCGACTAATCGAAATTTTTGTGTTTTTTCGGCCACAAAAACGATAGATAAAGATAACCTCTGCTTGTCCCAAAAACGAAGCTTGCATGTGCCAGTTGGCGCCAGGTCCTGGTCCGAAATCTAATCATTTGGAAATTTTGCATAGGATCCTTTATCCTGTAACGTTCATTAGTATCCACTTTGAAAATAAGGTCGGGGCAAAAAGTTGCATATAAGAGTTATTTGTAATTCAATATATGAGATTGCACACTAAGCCCCATTAGCGACGGCACCATTACTAGCAACTTTCCAGTGCAACATTTTCTAGCCTAACAAAGTGTAGAAATGTGTTCTATCAACTAACATTTAACTAACAAGAACAAAAGAAACATGCAAACAAGGAGAAATCCCTGGAAATGAGCAGGTCTTAATATTGCAGTTCGTCATTTAACGTGTATAGTGTGCACTATGCATATTAAGCTAGGAATGACTCGACGATATGTAACCTCACCAAATGGGTAACAATAAGGAATTACCACAAATAATATTCGCTATCCATGTTAGTCTCACTCTTCTACTCAGACAACTTTGAGAACCCGCTTGATATTAGGTTGTTTGGAAAGTAATGTCGCATTGCATCCTACCGCGATACTCTACAAGATGGAGTATAAAGCTCCGCGGAAGCTTTCAGTGAGATTGGATCCAAAATACAAAAAAAATTGAGATGCTCGAAAAATCGTATCCTCATTCCTCAAATGTAATAGGGATCTCATTCTGCGCAGGCATGTACTCTTTACATCATTCACGTGTACAGTTTTCGGTATCTCCCATGGCTAGAATACCAGAAATTAAAATAAGTCAAAATTGTGAATATGTCGCTTTTTTCGTTTTTTGGCGAAAAATTTGACTTTTCTCGAAAACTAGATCTTGTAGAAAGCCCACTCATCTTTATAATTTTTAAAGGTTTATAGTGCGTATTCACCAATCTGAGAGAAGCTCAGAATTGCTTTGACAAAACTATGCCAAATTATTTTTTTTTCGATTTCTAATCATGGAAAACCACGAAAAGTGTCAGCTATAGAGTGTTTGCGTGAGCGAATTGGGGTTTCCTAGGTTTTTCTGGACGGAGATACGTTTTTTTGGATTTCATAGGTCTCAAGTCCCTTTGTTGGCTCAAAACTTTACGCAAATCAAACTTGGGCGAGTCTTTTTGCTTTGTTATACAGAGTTTGGTCTTTCAGTTTGTACCTCATTTACTAATTTTCGTGCTCACCCTGCACGGTAAAAACGGTGCGATATCAAAAAAGTCTACAGTCGAGTATATATGTTGGTAAATATGGTGCCCTTGAGATGAATGATTTTGGGGTAAAATTTCGCATGAACAGTAGCTATGTCTGAAATGCCTGCAATGACGTGCAGAATATCAGCTTGGGAGTTGCTAATTTTGTACACGCGCAAATTTTACCTCAAAATTTCGGCACCGCAAAGGCACTTAATCGACCTAATTGACCGTACCATGTGTGACCATTTTTTGTGGTCGGAATGTCGACTAACCGCTACATGTCAATGTTCAGCAAATCCTTAGGATTCAAATTCATAAGTTCCGTAGTGTGGAGTAGAACCATCTGATTTATATTAATAGTCAACGGGTGGTGCGCAAGACTAATGATAGTACTATTAACGCACTCGGCTCAAGCGTGTGTCAACAACTGCACACGTTTTCCCTCCGTTCCTGGCCATCAATCTGATAACTAAAAACCTCAAAGGCATTTAAGTGGGTTGAAAAAGCGTTTAAGTTTAGCAAAAACATTAGTATCACAAAGTAGGAGCTATTTATCTCAAAGTTGCATACTATTACTGAGTTTTATATCTGAGCTTCCGAAAGGATCTTTAATTTATGCGCTCATAACCTACAAACAAACTGCTGTCTCATCCTTAGCTTAGTCACAGCGACTGGTTTTCATCGTCTCTTTATCCATTATCATGCTAGAATGGAATATGTATGAAGATCTGCCTTATACGTTTCCGTGGGATCAACCCCTTCGCTTGAACGTGTGCAACGACGTCCAGTCTTTGCGGTAGATGAATGATGCATGCCGTCGTTTTGTAAAAGAGCGTTGCTGTGCGACTTTTTCAAAATAATACGTCAGATAGTTGATAATCACCATGTGAAGCTTTTATTCTGACGAAATTGGCTCTCCTTAATTTTCAAGTGAGTAGTAGTTTGTGCCGGAAATTTCCTGTTCTTTTTCCTTTTTACTTTCTTCCTCTTTCTTCTTTTTTTTCTCTCTCTCTCTCCCTCCTCTCCTCCTGCAATCTCGATTCACTCTCAGTGTCATCCAGCTCAATCTCCTTTCACATAAGACTGGACTATTACTTTTTTTCATTCTCACATTTGCAACACTTTGTACAGATTAATTATATTTCTTTTCTTTTTATTTTTCTTCTTCTCCCCTCCGCCTCCATTCCCTACGCTCTCAATTTCACTCTCACTCTCATACTGCTTCTCCTCTCATTTGAGACGGTATTTTACCTTTTTACGATTCCTAGATTCTCAGCATTTTGTTCAGATTGATTTTACAAACTTTTCTTATTATAGTACCTCGGAAGCGTTCCCGTGCTCGATGCCCTACACGATATGACGCCAGATCTGCGGCAGCTTGTTGTAAAGTGAGGACTTTGAAATCATGCTAATATAGAAAATTCATGTCTTTAGGGAATGTATTAACATGATTGCTGGTGAGCTGGAAATTATCCCAGAACAAGAAATGAACCCGATTATCAAGAAGGTATATCTAAACTAAATGTCCTCCACTTAGGCTCCGGACAGACTTCACGCGATTTGATCGTCGCGACTCAATCGCCGACATTTCCATTCATTTTCATTTTACATCCAAAAATTTCGGGCTGGAAAAGTATCACAACCGAAATGCAAGTTGATCGGCATAGAATGATGTTGTAACAGTTGTCTCGTCGCGATTCAGTCGCGACGATCAAATCGCGTGAAGTCTGTCCGGGGCCTTAAGCAAATCTAATTTCAATGAAAATCAGTGCTTTTTTCAGATTGTTGGTTCACCAGAAGTGGCAAATCATAAAGTTGATTTGAGTATTTCTACCAAGGCTTTGAATGTAATCTACACCGATCCGAAGGACAAAGAGAGAATGAATCGTCTGATTGCGAGGCATAGCATTGAATTGGTGTCCTTCGCCGCTCAAGGCTCAGAGGTGTAGTTTTTACCATATACCTGCAGTGCATAGAGGGGGGAGTGGCGCCGATAACACCCGAATTTCTCGGGATGTTTCACAAAATTACGGAACGATTAACCCGAAATATCAGAAAAGCAGCCACCCCACTTTCTAAAATTTCGTGGTTATGGGCCCGCAAAAATTTCGGGGCAGCGTCTCAAAATAAAATTTCGGAGTGCTAACGTTATGCACCTTTATTCGGAAAAATTGTCTCCTTCCTCCCCCACCGAACGGAATATCTGTTACTGTGTCATCTGACTTTAGTCCAGTGTCCTTGTTAAATCTCCTCGGTTACTCGATCATTTTTACTGCTTTTCTAACAATGAGAAGAGAGAAATGTTTACTTTGGTTGCCCACACCTGTAGCTGCAGATGCCTTATCATAATTAAAAGAGTATAAAACCGTTGGAAAAGTGGCATGTGGCCGCAAAGTTGAAAAAAAAAAGGTCTTGTAAGTCTCAATAGGTACCAATGCAAATCAAAAAGTGGTTCAGGATCGGGCTTCCATTGCTTGAAGTAAGAGTGGCAGAGCTTTTATTAGACTGGATAAAACAGAAAAAAAAGGAGGAAAAGACAAGTTAGCGATAAAAATTCCTAGATAGGAGAACAAGTAGAACAAGAGAACAAGTACCACCGGCTTTATTTGTGACCCTTCCTCTCCTTTCGTTTCATCTTTGGACGTCAGCATCCTCGTTTCCATTGATATTTTGCTCAGTTCATCAGCATTTTCAAATAAAGGAAAGGAACGAATCATTCATAGGAGAAAATCAGAAGTCACTTTGAAGACGTTGAAGACAGTGCTGCGCACTGGCGCATGGCACCTTAATTTTCGATTGTATAATCCCGTTCATCCTAATTTCTGATGATGTAATAATTTAGGCTTAAAGGCAGTGTCCAGGCTAAACCTAACCCCCTCCGATTAGTGTCGGTCCCGAATGTAGGCCCCAGAAAAGGGGCATCTGCGTTGATTCGGTCCTCTAACGTTGTCTCTGAATGGAGATAAGGTGCCTGGAAGTCCCTGGCTGGGCGGAGTCTGATATCACTCCGCCCAGCCAGGGTCTGCCTCTCGACACGCACTGACATGGCAGTGAGCAGAAGCTGCACACTGCTGCAACTGCACCCATGCCGACGAGGACGAGCAATTCGAAACTCGTCGGCGCCGGGTCCCCAGGAATCGGGTTTTTTTGTGAATTTTGGAGAGTCTGAAGTTCGGAATTGTAATCAGGGCCACGGGAAGACCCAAGAATGACGAAAACATGGGGGGCCAAATTCTATGTAGATGCTGTCTTTAAGATTCTTTCATGTTGACCCTGCCATCTTTTGGCAGAATCCGCCACTCCTTTTTTATGAAACTTTTCCGTGTTCATGGAAGGTTACCGAGGACGCTCAAACGACTTCGATCCCCCCCGCCCCCATCCCCGCTCCCTTAGGCAGACTCCATCCCCTTAGTAGCAAGCCCCGCCCACTTTAAAAAATTGCCGAACTTTCAGGAAGCCTTGAAATACAACAATTTCCAGCATTTTTTCGAGTGGGCGGAGCTTGCCACAAAAGGCTGAGCTGCCTCGCCTAATTATATTCGTGATTCATGCATGGTCCATCCGTATATACATGCACCTACTCAGACAATCGGTGCCGTAGCCCATACCCTCGATACATAGAGCCACGTACTCTGGTAACCTTCACTTTGAGGGCTATGAGGGGACACAACCTTCACCTGGAAAAAAAACAGAAGTCATCTGGGGCTTCGCCCGGATGTTATTATCTTGAATATTTCGGAACGAATGCTAATGAAGCAAATATAGGGACTAATATCTTTAGCTTATCTCAGCGAAACCGAGAATTTGCTTTTCATAGCCTTTTTTGCGTTAGAAAGAAGATTTCTGTGGAATTCTCGCCAGAATTCAGGACAAAATTTCTCAGTTAACCTGTCATTTGAACAAAAATCGAGTTTCAGAAGTTTAGGAAAGCTATTGGATTCAAATAAGAACGAGAAACTGCGCTTGAATCTCGCGCAGAGAGTCGCGCACGAAAATGCTGGTCTGTCTCGTTAATGAGTGAATTTCAAAGCTTGGGACGTTGTCAGTTCTCCTCGTCGTGTCATGACGATCAGAATGATATATAATGTTGGGGTATCTTTGAGACCCCGCGGAGATCTACGACCAGAGCCAAATGCCCCGTCGGCTCTGGTCTGTCTCCGCTGCTTGTCTGCGTCTCCGCGCGCTGCGCGCTACCTCGCTACCCCAAACGCGGGGCGCGGGGCATTTGGCTCTGGTACCCTTTTCTTCGCTGTTCCGAACCCACTTTTAGCAAGCTATGTATCAAATTGAAGCTCTTGATCTCTATTTTCATGCTGACAACGTCCCAGAACCACATTTTCTGATTTGATCGAGAAATCCGGCAAAAACCTTGTTTTCGAAAATCTCTTGTTTTTCTCCTAGTTTAACTATTTTCACGCGGTTTTTTCGTGCATTCTATAGATCTTGCTTCTGTTCATAATGCAGACAACCACCCATCCTTTATCTCTTCGATTATTGGGCAATTTTTGCGAAAGACCGTAGAAAGTGCGTTTTTCTTCACCTTGTTCCGTTTCAGTGCTTTCGCACCGATTTTTTTCCAGCTTGGGCGCTTGTTGCTCAGAACAACAAGCGCAACAATCCAGACAACGTCCCAGGAAACAGGAACGTCAATGCAGGGGCAAAAATTCAAAGGACGCATCAAAAATCACCCCGTGTTGCGAATAACTGGTCCTGGAGCGAAAAATTGCACTTTGAAAAGCCGCCAAATGAAAGATTTCAAACCTCATTGCAGCGTTTTTATCCATTTTTCAGCAGTTTCTTTTGCTTTTTAATCTGTTTTACGTCATTTTCTCCCCTCTAATCTTCTTCAAGCAACCTTCACTATTTAAGACGTCAGATGTTCAAACAACCTTCACTTTTGACGCCCTGTCTCTAGACTATCGAAGGTATGAACGGTGACATCACAAGAAGGCAGATGGGACCCCTCCGGCGGTCTTGCAAATCTCTGCTCCGGAGGTATGCCAGATTTGGGACACCTCCGGAGCACAAAATGGGAGGGCTCCGGAGCACAAATGGGAGTTCTTCGGAGCACAAAATGGGAGGGCTCCGGAGCACGAGTGGCAAACAACCGGTGGGCAAACCCCGCGGCTCTGCCATTTTTGCTCCGGAGGTATGCCATCGACTGTCTGAGTAGGCTTAGGAAAGCACAAAAACGTCTTGTCTACAATGATAGGCGTATGGCTCGTCGTCAACGTGTTAACGAAGTCAATATTGTCACAAACTTTTTGCTATAATTTTCTATTTAAATACTCCTAGAATTTTAGGAGACAAACACCAGTGATATGTTCGGATACATCGCAAAGAAGCGTAATGGAACCGATCGAAGATGTCACATTTTCCGGTTCAAAGATGTAAGTTTTAGCCAACTTTCATGTAATATACTTGCGCCTTCTGTCGTAGTAAGGATGACTTTGGCTCAACAAGATACACGGCCGTATGTGAACTCTTAATTTTTTATGCGATCAAAGCCGTTGTGAAGACTCCTTCTGGTGCGTGTTTGGGGTAAAAATGAGGTCCCTTGAATCATAAGCTGTCTACGTTGACTTAAATGTCTAAAGTTGTCTAAAGTTTAGGTACCAAGAGTTATGCACACCATTGATGATGCTATACGCCTGGCAACTATCGACAAGCAAGTAGCAATGCCACCACCTGTGTTACCGACATCTGGTAAAGTAGAGGTAGTAATTATTGACAACTACTTTGCCATTTTCGTGCTTATCTAACATCAGCAGTCCGAGAAAACAAGACATTCGGCGTGCTGCCTAAAGACAAAAGACTACAACTTGCAGAATCTTAATTCAGTCATTATAGCACGCTCGTTGATTCGTTACATATTGCAGTTGCGCTTAAAATGGCTGCCATATTAATACTCGAGACTAGCTAGTGGCTAGAGAGGCAGTACCTCGAAATACCTTGAGCTTTTCCTTAAAGATTTCCTTAGGAGAGATAGAAAGCCAGGAGAAGCTCATTCCTGAGAGCTTCGTTAGCTTCATTCGTTTGTTTTGTTTGGACCAGGAATGTTGAAAATCGTTCTGGAAATCTAGGTCATTGAAGATGCCCGCTCTCAAAAATCATGCAAGGTCATACAAAATAAGAGTGGACAGAAATAGAAGAAAAGAACAGGGCCTACCTTCGATTCAACTAGATTGACGGCTGGAAGGCAAGGCTTCGTGAGCCGAGGCGAGAGGATGACCAAAGAGCACTTCCAAGAGAGAGAGAAAGACGCAGACTGCGTCGCGGGTGCGAGCAATCGCCTTCCAGCCGCCAGTCTCGTTGAATCAAAGGGTAGCGAAATATGCAAAAGCGTTATAGTTTTTACCAGGTAGAAAAGAGCCATTTTAAGCCAGTGTATTGAAATCTATGTGTTTTTTGCTATATACGCTCATGAGTTACACTACCTTAAAGGTAAAGTCCACCCAAAATGGAGGTTGGCGAAATCATGATGGCATACTAGTGTTGGCCCCCACAATAGGCAATCCCCCAAGCTTTGCCACAAAAGACTGCTTCTGAAGCGAGAAATCCACTCCGGAAGTAGCAAAGTAGGCGGGGCGACCATGGTCGCCCCGCCCACTTGCATGCTTTATTTCGCCTGCACTTGTTGCAGAGGGTTCTCGAAACAGGGATTTTTGGGGGTTTCGCGGATTTTCGACTCCATATTTGGAATCGGGGCCTTCAGAAGGCCTGAAGGCGACAAAAACAATGAATTCGAGAATTTGGGTGAACCGCGCTTAAAACCTGAAACCTTCTTGAGCTGGCGCGCGCGTCTCCGCATAAAAGCTTTTTGTGACCCTAATAGTAACCAGTGACTGGTATCTTTCTCTTTCTTCCTTTGAAGGAGCGCATCATGGTTTTCACAGTAGTAATGTTATATCCAATGTTTTCTTTACTTCCTGCATTCAAGTATGATTGTTTCCCGCTTATGAAATGATTGCTAAAACTTGGCAGGTTATGGGAATGCAAATATTAGGGTGAACGGTAAAAAATAGGACAGCTTGATTTTTTTTACATTTTGAGGTTTTTTGTTCTCACCAACAACAACAGGCTACAACTTAAATGTCGCTTACATAAACGACCTTCGCCTATTATTCTGGCAACGCGTTACCGCTCCTCTCTCATAACCGTACGCGTGGCGCCGTGAAGAACTCAGACAGGGTCTTTGTAACAATTCTCAATCTTGCGCTGCTATACCGTAAGGTCGTCAAGTATATGACATACCATTCGAAAGAGCTTTTCATGCTCTTTCAAATGATATGTTAAATGCATAAGACTTTCTTTCAATTTTAGAAAAAAAAAGCGAAAAAACTTGAAAAGTGGCTATTTCTGGCGCAATAAAAAACCAAAAAAATCCTGTTTCGCCCTATATTTTCCGAAGATAGATAAAATCTGAGGTAAGTTGCAAATGGATGGATAGAGCGTAAAAAGCTCTATCAGATGGTACCTAGAAAACATGCATTCACCTGGAAGGAATTGAATAACGCGTATCTACGTTCTCAAAGCTGCTAATGGCTATATCTCCTGACTTTGCAAGCTGAGGCCACCAAGCCGTCGTGGATTTAGTGACTGTCCCACCACCCACTCCAGCAGTGGTACTTTGGGTGGTCTCACATGTTTCACTGCGCAGATACTGCTCAAACTTCATAATTTATCGAGGTGACTGATTTTGCATTTCAGTAAGTATAAAAGTTATTAATTATGTAAATGACCTTATATAGATATTATCTGCAAGAGAATAACATAATCTAACATCTATCAAAATTGGAAAGTCTAATCGCTTCTCACTCTCGAGAAACCTCCAGTTATTTCGTAAGTGTCCCACTTTTTACCGTTCACCCTAATAATAGAAAGAGAGAGTTCGAAAAGCATTTGTCAGACGTCTGCAATTTCGCTAGCTTTATAGCTCTTGAGAGGACGATACGAGCACGTTGTAATGGTAGACTTTGGGTTCTGTCAAATTTTCCGGCTTTTAGACCAAGAAGGAATGCTTCCCATTTCAACTTTTGTTGTATCGGTTTCTCAGTTTTTCTTATTTTCTTCACAATTACGTGCTAGATTTCCGGCATGTAAGAAGAAGCGCGCGCTTATCGACCGGTATGAACTCGCTGCGTTTAGAACGAAAAAAAGCAGGCTATAGGTGATTGTCACAAATGCGCTCCAAACTTACTGCAGTTTCTGGTCCCCTAACGCCACAGAGTGAGAATGGAGACAAAAACTACGAGGATATATATAGTCCAACTCACCGACCAACCGAACATAAACGCAAAGGATAATGGATTTTAGATTCTACTAGGTTGGCACATAAGTCTTGCAGCTTCTCCCATAAATTTTTTTCATTGTATTTAACCCTCTCATTTTTTTGACATTATATAATGGGGCCTGGCGCTAGCTACAATTCTGCGCATACCGTTTAATTTCTCATAGCGTAATAGAAAATTCAAGCATTTTCCGAAAACTGTTGAGAATCGAGATTTTCCGATTTTTGAAAAGGAAGCTCTGAAGAACCTGAATCACACACATTGACGCAACATTATAGGCAGCATGTTGCTGGAGGACAGGGGAGGTTGGCTTAATAAACTCAGTAAAAAAGAAATGGAAATCGAAAACAAATCATTCACGCCCTCGAGAAGTTGGGCAAGTCAAATGCATCAGATTTGAAAAAGCATCCGTCTATAACCAAGTTGCGAGACCTCTATTTGCTAAAAGGAGGGTATCAACATAAGTTGGAGAATGAAAACGAGATGTATATCACTAGAAGCATCTCTAGACGCATTCCAAATCTATCTCCTTTTTTGCGCAACAACTTCCCGAAAGAAATGCGTTTGAAGGTCAAAATGGGTGCGGGAATTTATCCACCCAGAGAAGCATGCCGCCATGTAATTAGCAGGGGACATGAGAGGTTATGAACTGTCAGCAACGCTAATTTGCACCCAATTTGCACCGGAGACGAGCAGTTTGCTCACGACAGATACGACATCATCCCACAGTGTACGAAACGGGATTTCATCGAAACTTGAAGTCAAAGTTCAGTAGTGAAATTAGTCCAACTAGGATAAAAATTCGTATTTAGGGGTAATCTGCCATGCTGGTTCCAAATATAATGGTGGTTTTACGTTTTTTTCTTTTGAATCTCAATCTTGCTTTCAAAATCAGGCAAAAAGCTTAAAGTTGTCATTTGAGTGTTTTCTATATGCTTTTTTCGATTATGCTAATGTTTTCGCCGGAACCTTCGAAAACTTTTTCTTTCGAATTTTTGACTTTTTCATAAATTCCACTGCAACTTTGATAAATCTGGAAAACAAATGAAAAAGAATGCTGCTTTCAGAAAGATTCGTAAACGCCCTTAGAAACCCCAAAATGCAAGTTTTTATTCTGACTAGTCGCCACAGTACACTGATTTTAATCCCATCACGAAGCTCGGTTTCATTTTCAAGCAAAACCACCATCGTATTTGGAACCAGCATGGCAGATTACCCCTAGATACAAATTCTTACCCTAGTTGGACTGATTACACTACTTTGAATTCATGATCTTTCACGCCCCCGAAAAAATCTTTTACAAGGCTAATTTGAATTTTTCAAATTTTTTAAAAATTATTTTAATTATTTACTAGTAGATACAAGTCCTCTGCACATTTTTATAACACATTTGAGTAACCTTCAAAAATTTCGCGACCCATTCTCGGGGGGGGGGGGGCGCCCCCCCCCCTCGGTACGCCACTGCTCTCTAGGTAGATAAATTCCGTTCCCCGGTCAAAATTTGCAAGCGTCAAGTGACATAAAATTAGAGAAAAGCTGTTTGAATTAATGCGGATTTTCACTGGTTGTGTTCCTTCCTTGTAGTCAATACATTTGATATAGAATTAATAACCCTTTTTGATGTATTTGTAGAGCTTTTTGTTAGTTTTATGCTGCTTGAGCTTGACAATTTTGGACACACAAACTTCTCTCGGAGAGCTATTGCGCAAAAATGGAAGGCAATTTGGAATCAGTGTCTGAAGGCGCTTCTACTGGTACACATTTCGTCTTCAATTTCCAGCTTTTTAGTATCCGCCCCTGCTGAGGCTCAGGGCTGGCACCAGCTGGCACGGGCAAGCTGGATATCGTTTTTGGGTCAAAAAGCAAAGGGGTATCGTTTTTGTCGACAAATTGCGACGTTTTTTTAGTCGACGTTTCGTTTTTTGGAGGATTTTTCCGGGATTTTCGTCTGGGGTCAAAGGGGACTTCGTAAAAATTAGCAAATTTCAAGGACTTCGTTTTGGAAATTCCCTGGTGCCAGCTCGTGCCGAGCCCCTTAGTAAGGCTTCACACAGCAGGGTAATTCATCATGCTGAACAATCATCGCATTTCGTTGCTAACGTAAGAGACGAGAAATCATACCTTGAACTGCAAAAGAGCTTTTTCATATGGAGTGGAATCATCTCTGTAATCAGCATGTCGAATAACCCCCATAGACCAAGTTCCAGCAAAATCTGACGCAATCCAAAAAATTTACCTTATACGGTAACCTATCGTAACCCTTACATAAGACTGCGAAATCGGCGAGAATGTCGCATTTGTGGTTAATTCTTTGTGGTGCCGAAGAATGGATGCACACTCAAACAGACAGTGTTATATATAAAGTTACATTACTTGTGTGCCAACCTAATAGATTAATTTTATGCCTTATTCTAACACAAAACGGACTTTCTAGCGATAGGGTGCAGAAATTCACCGGTTGACCTGTAAATCTGTGTAAATCTATGTAGCACAAATTCCGATGTTTCCGGCGAAAATCACTCTATTATGTACCAGCACCGGAAGTAAAATAAAATTGGTAACGCTGAACATGATAGGGAACTTTTTTGGAGGGATACAAAAATTGGAGAAAAAGCCGCATTTCAGTTTGCATCTCAAACGATGTTTTACTAGGTTCGATACTCGAGTTTTGGGAAAGAAAGCAAACTCCTGGGGGTGAGTGTACTCGGGCAAGACATTTCCAACATTGATTCTGACCGAAAACGTTTTGCTCCCCTTGAGTTCTGACGGAGAGCAACTTTGAATTTCGTAGAAATGCACCAACAATTTTGGGAACCGGATGTAGTAATTGTCGTCGTTTTGGCGGTCATTATCCAGTTGCAGACCTAGGCACGAGGAACCGGAAATTCAAATTTTGTGTGGCGCAATTTTTTCTTGATCTTTAAGATAATGAACTGTGAGATAAACTGCTGCAGCCTAATGTTTGAAGTAAAAAGGGATGATATCTCTGTGAGATATCTGCTATTCTGCATAAAAACATATAGTCAAAGGAGCTTGATACCACCTTGATATATCCGCAACAACTTTGTTTAGGTAGAGCCTAGTCCTTCTCCGCACATGCAAGAGCATCGGCGACGACCACTAGCTCCATCTCCTCGACTACCGAACAGAAATCACATACCAGATCGGCCATCACCGGAACTAGGTTATCACTAGTTATTGAATACTATCGGAGTTTATCACCCGTAAATTGCAGGTGTTCGAGAAGAAAATAATGGAGTACTTGGTTTGGATTTAAGAGACAAGCGATGGTTTCATGGTGAATTAGATCGCGCTGCCGCAGAATATCTGTTACAAAAAGATGGCGACTTTCTTGTTCGGTGAGTAAGTCCGCTTATATTTATCTTTTGCTGGTTTTCATGCAGTGATTTAAGAAGAGTTCACATGGTCCAGGATAATTTTTATATTACTTTCCAGCTCCAGTTTTTCAGTTCTTTCTCTCAAAAATTTTTTTGCTGATTGTGTTGCCTTGCAGAACAAGCGCCAATTCACCTGGACAGTTTATTTTGGATGGTATGGAACAGGGAAGACATCGTCACATTCTCCTCATCAATGACGGCGCAGTAAGTTTCCAAGAAATTTATACGGTAAAAAATTTCTTTCTTCTAGGTTCGCACCGCCACCAAAGAGTTCCCTACAGTGTCGTCGTTAATTGCTTACCATTACAACACTGGCATCCCAATCTCAACTCCAGAATCCCTTGTGTATTTGAGAAATCCTATTTTCGTGTAACGGTAACACTAGTACTCAAGAAATTTAGAATCTTACAAAACGGTGCTCAAAGCAACACCAGTACATATCTCCATCCATTTCAACATTTCTCTAATTGTTTGTGATAATTTTTGAAGGTCATAACTTATGATAGCTGGTCTTATATCTCTAGTTTCTGTGTTTTACAATTGCTCAAATGATTGCGCCATTTATGTACAAATTGTCTGCAAATACATTTTTATGATACTTCGCACTGCATCAACATAGATAGTAAGGTAGCGAATTTCTGCTTTTCCATGACATACTGATCACTAAACGCATTACATATATCTACAAATTCATAAAACGTTCACATGAGGTGTGTTTTGATTTCGAAGCTCGTTGCAATCAATGGATGAATTCTAATCTTCTCAAGTTGCTGCAAAAATATTATTAGTGATTTACTTATTGTCGATTCGTTGACCGCAAAGATGGCCGTAGATTGCGGAGCACGCGCCGTGCAGCTGAACACTTGTACCGGTACAGATCACTATTGTACAAGTCGTACCCTGTGATTTTTCAACCGCGCCGCGCGAGCTTCGCAATCTACGGCCAGTCCGTGCGATCGACGACGCGACGATGTTTGCCAGCCTTATATCAAACTGCTATGTACGAACGACGCATTTCAAGCGGTTTTGCTGCACACAAATGATAGAAGACTTTGTTCAAAAGGACAGTATGCGACCGAAGAACGATGCTGCAAACACTAAAAGTGTGAGTTGAAAAATAAGTAGGCTTAACACGTTGACGACCGAGCCATTTTTGACCACCTCAAAATGGACTGATGATCTACGGCTGCGGTTTGGACTGTTTAACAGCCACCGCAATGCCGTGTGTTTTATATGACAACCAGCCCACCAGTGTTATTACTGCATAGAAGTTACCTGAGAAATTTTCGTTTACACATGATAAATGAGTGCACGAAAGTGCTACAAGGTGGTCAGGGCGTGCATACGCGCGGATACACACGGTCGTCAACGTGTTAAACAGTGCCAGCTCCGCACCAAGATGTTGCAGGAATTGGCAAGTTTCTTCCCTTTCGTTCAGAAGAAAATCTTGAGCACTTTCGAACTAAACAGTGAATTAGTTGAATGTCCATTTTCCGATACGAAGCTGAAAACTATGAGAAGTCTTCCATTCTTATCACTTCAAGCAAGTGGACCGTCCATTTATCTCGTACAACTTATACACTTTTATTCAATGTAAGTTTTACTGGCTGATACAAAGGTAGAGGTTTCAGTGACACAAGGCCCCTTCTGCGCGTGGAAATTGCACGATTGTAAATACTTTACGATGACTCATGGTGTGTTCCGGTTGTTCACAGTGTTGCCTACGCCAATCAATCTTTCTTACGGTCAAATAGCTGTTTTGACAAGTAAAGTTTCATTCCTATAAGTGAACTCATTGCTAAAAGATGGATAGTCTATAGAGACCCTCTCGAAGAAGTTTTGGTAGTCATTTGAACTTCGACACATGCAAATATTTTGGAAATTTAGCAGCCAATAGAAGAGATTTCCAAGCAAATTAATCTGTTCGTTCGTGGATCATTGATTTCTTATTCAATTTTCGTTAACGTAGTTGCTAGACCGATATCTTTCGCATCGAATAAATCAGTTTCAGCTTGTCCATCAATCTCATCCCCACTTCTCGATATTTATGCGAACTCCTCCAAACTTGATCTGCCAATGCTCTCATTTTACTGCAACTTTCAAAGTTTCGCAATCTTCTTAAGATCACTCTGGTTAGGAAGAACGTCTCATCAAAGCTGATCCGACCCACTGCAATAATTGAAAAGATGTGGTGCAAGACAGGGTACACAGGACTTTCCCAGATCGTGACAATCGCATGGAAAGGCGCTAGACCTTAGCGCTGTACTCCACACAGTCGCAATCGGCAAAGGCCTATGTCAACCCTATGAGAAAGAGAGGCGCTTGGTTGTAAAAGCGGTGAGGTCTCGAAGCCCCCCCCCCCCCGCTACCAATTCAGTTCCAGCTCCGCTATTTCTCGGGAAGCATTCCAACAATTTCTTCGAAGGCGATTTCGGGTCATCACCGCTGTGCCTACAGTTTGCGCCATTCGGGAGAGGCCGAAGCGTTGGCGTAAATTTGCGCGCTCAACGTTAGAGGTATGCGCTGCATGTGGGTACTGTCGGAAAGAGCGGATACTTCTAAGAGGGAGCAGACACGCAGGCCGTAGGCGTGATGACGATCCTTAGCGACGCGGCCTCCGCCATGGCAGTTTGTGCCTGACTGAGATTGGGAAGGACTGTACGCCGCATGCGGCCAACGGAAAACGCGCTTGCGGAAAATTCAAGGTCACCCCGATTATAGGGGAACGAAAAGAGCCACAAACCGTTTTTTGGCAGTGTGGCAATGCAGGTTGTCCGGAGTGATTTGCCCCGCATCCACCACTACCAGTGGCCGTATTCATCAACGAATTCTGAGGGTTAACCCTACCCTCAGAGCAGTGGCGGTCCCAGGATTTCGGGCCGTTGGGGGGGGGGGGGAGGGGGAGGGCGGCGAAAATTTTTTTTCTGATGAAGGTGCGTGGCGTTAGCCACGCACTCCGAAAAATTTTTGGGGTGACATCATGACTTTTGCGGTTCCATAGCCCCTAAAATCTAGAAAAAGGAGGTTTAAAAGGCTAATTTGAATTTTTAAAAAATTTTTAAAAAATTATTTTAATTATTTACAAAAATAAACAAGTCGTTTGCACATTTTTATAACCCATGTAGGGAAGTTTCAAAAATTTCGCGACCCATTCTCGGGGAGGGGGGGGGGGAGGCGCCCCCCTTCCCTCGGTCCGCCACTGCCTCAGAGGTAGATCTTACCCTCAGGGTTCACTGTGCGTATTCATCAACGAACCCTACCCTTAAGGGTAGGGTTTACCCAGAAAAGCGATTAACCCGTATTCATCCACAAACCTTGAGGGTAAATCTTACCCTTTAGGGTAAATTTTACCCCAGAAAGGGATTAACCCGTATTCTCGAACGTGGCCCATCAAGGTAAATTTAACCCTGGGTTGGAGTAAGACTAGATCATCTGATACTTGCCGTGCCAAGATCAAATCTCTCAATGCATTAGTCAGTCCTAGCGATACTGTTTTGACAGTAGATACATATTTATGTTTAGTACTATCTCAAACCTTTTGCGGCCTCTTTTCGTATTTTTGTTTCATGTCATCCGGTTTTATATTCGGCCGGATTGTTATGGTAAAAGATTTGGTTTTGAATAGTACATGTCCAACTAAGGGCTTTGATATAGCGAACATCAAGCTCAACAACTCGGAAAAATGTTGAACTTCCTCATTCAAATCTTAGTCCATCAATATACTAGCCAGTAAATGACTTGATACATGGCCAAGCTATCGTAGTCAACTAGATAAACTTTAACCTGACCAAAAAGTACTAAGAAAATTTTTTATCCCAGTTTTTGTAATATGATTAGACAAGACCAAAGGAAGAATTAGGATTGAGGTAATAATGTTTAAAAATATGTGTATTTTGTCAAGACAGTATCGTTGAGACTGAATGGTGCATCGAGAGATTACTTTATGTTTGTACGAAGTGTCAGGGTAAATTTAATCTTGCTATATGCGGGTTAAATTTACTTGATGAATCACGTTCATGAATGGGATGATCGCTTCCTGTGGCCGTATTCATCAAGGAACCCTCAAGGTTAAAATCTACCTCAGCTAGCATTTAGGCTTATAACCCGTATTCACAACATGATCGCAATGATATTTTCTCATGGGTTAACTCTACCTTGAGGTAGAAATGAACCTTGAAACGCATAAACCCGTATTCATCATTCTACCTTGAGGTTAAAAATTACCTTAATCATCATTTCTCCATCAACTTTCTATTATGCGTTCAAGGTAAAATTCAACCCTGGGATAGCTAGGGTCAAAATCTACCTTGACTTTGCACATAAGAGTTGAGCTCTTTCTAAGAACCTTTTTAATTCTTACGCAACCTTTTTCAAAGACAAACATATCTATATCCATAGTGAGTTTCAACTCAGTCTAGGCGGAAATTAACACATTAACGACCAAGGCCTTTCGCGGACCGGTCAACATTTTTTAGATAAAATTACGCACAGTTTCATCAACAGTACACCTACAGTAGCTCTTGAATGCTGGCGAAAACAATAAAGGTTGTGTCCTAAATCCAGCACAAAAGAAAACTACCGAAGTGGGTTTAACACAAAATAGTAGCCATTTCAACGATACACATGGTGTGTCAAACCTTGACACACCATGTGTGTCAAGCGGTCGTCAATGTGTTAAACTGGCGGGAGTCCGCTTCGCAAGGACTCGCGCCACTTGCAGTCTGCATATTTTCATCTAATCTGTCTCGCTGAGCCAGTAACGTTGCAGACGCGCTGCTCTATTTGAATGTTTCGTCTACTCCGGGTTGTAATAGACTGTAAAACCAGCTCAAATTTTACTTGTTTACTTAGTCTCATTACTTACCCCTAATCATGGTTTTCAAGGCTTTAAGAGTCATTTAATGACCATTAATAGGCAAAGCGTCGAACAATTCTGACAGATACGCATCGATGATTTGAATTTCAAGCGAGTTCCTTTCTTCGGAAAAATACTTGTGGCCCTCAATACAGCCAAGCTTCACTATTGAGATTCATGCTGTTTGACTTTCTAAACTTGATGTTTGGTTCCTTTTGAAGCGGTCAGTAAGCGATCTTCCAGAACTTTATCGGCGAACGAAAGGTGATTTCTGCGTGTAGCGGGTTTCTTGTGGTTAAAAGCATAGATTGCCTTTAGGACTTTGAGGAGATGTTTGGTCGGGTACTTTCTAAATTGCTTTGGCCCATTTCAGGCCTCAAAGAAGGCGAATCATTGCTGAAACGTAGATAATAATCGCCAATTTCAGCCGAGGCTAGGACGGAATCGATACAGTATCCGACAAATAATAAATTTTGTTAAAGGCAGTGGCTCGGCAAATCCTCAACCTGTGTTTTTTTTTTGCTTATTTGGGGTGAATTTTGAGGTGTTTGGTTTTGCGAGCCACTGCCTTCAAAGACACCATATGAGACTTCTGCAACCCCAAAATTTGTAACTTAAGAGCTTTCCGTTCAATAGAGACGGCTTCTTAAGACTTTGGGAGATAAATTTTTTAAAATCAAACCCTCTGCCTCAGTAATCTCTTGAGAATCTTAGACAGCTTCTACAGAGGAAAACTGTATCTAGAAAAGTATTGGGTTGTCTC